TATTTCTTAGTAAATTTTAATTTTTATAAAAAAAATAAATTCTTAAGAAAAAGGCTTAAAATTAATATATTTAATTTTATAAAAATACTAAGAATTTAAAAAATATATTATTAAATAGCCCTTTTTTTAAAGAGAATTATATAATTTTCCTAAAGTGCTGACTAAGCTAGTTATATAGTTATTTAAAGATATATCTGTTTTTCTACTCCGTAGCTGCACATGACTTTTACACTCAAATTTTAGTGTGACCGACTGTCTCAAGATTTTATGCATGTCTCGGGGTTTTGTGCCCAACTAAGCAAGCTTAGTTGGCCCCCCCACGGCCCGAGCCAACGGGTACTGTGACGACCAGCTAATTTACACTAAAGTGCGCAAATAAATAAGCTTTCAGAGACCTCGAAAAGGTTAAGTTAAATTGGTCGAGTTAGGGCGAATTTATACTAGCCTCGCATCAGATAAGGGAAATCAAGCTAAGATAAGCATGGCCAGGTCGATCTGGCCCGACGATTTCCCGACACCTAGCCTGTCAATTGTTAGATCATATCAAACACTTGAAGGGGAATCCCTATATTTTAAGTTAACCCTGTCAAATTTACTTCTCTAAAATGGCAACCAAGTATCTCAACAACTTGTTCTCGCACCCTACCAGTATCGTTGACCCTGAATCGCGAAACATGGCCACTTAGTCAGCGGCCGTCGGTGGTGTTTCTACTTAACACCCTCCAACTTCTTCAGATCCTGCAGCATCTGGAGCACCTCGTTCTGCGACAATGTAAATCGTCTCTTATGACGCTCAGCCAGCTGCTGTTGCCATTCCTCCGTAGCTATGATAAGCAAGGCGTCGACTAGCGGATCAACCTGATGCATATGCTCTACAAGCGCTGCCATCTCTTCTGGGGTAGGAATGATAGTACCGCCGCTGTTGTCCGCACTGGTCCCAAAGGCTCCCGGATATGTGCCATGTGTTTCTTTGATAGAGCGTTGAAGGTGATACAAGAGAAAGTTGATTTGGGTATAGAGTTCCATGAAGGGTGCCATTTTTGCTGTGAGAGAGGAGAAGTAAGCCTTTGGGTTAGTGGTTTGGGTTACTGTGCCGAAGTCGGTATTCGGTACTGTGGTGCAAATTAAGAGCGCTACAGGAGCTTATATATATGTATTGGTAAACCTGTACAGCGGGTTTGTTCATGCAGAATAAGGTAGCATATATGTCATATTATCGAACAATCCGGAGTTGCTGCAAAAGACCTAAAAAAAAGGCATTACAGAGAAACAATCAAGGACTTGCTTCATGGATGTTATGCTATGAACATACATTCTAGATTTCATGGAAGCGTCTATAGCATGAACATAGTTCAGGATGGAACGGGAAAACAAAGCGAGTTATAACCCTTTATTGACTTGCTGTCCCTGGGGGACGCCTGAACAGAAGGATAACGATTGTGCTTGCTAGACATGATATCCGCTATGTACAGTTCTTCGAAAGCCCCAGTTCGGTCACCCGTCAAAGCGCCTGCTGACCTTACTCCTGCGACGACTCAATTGTCTCGCATTCAGGATTGACCTGGCCCTAAGAAAACATCCAAGCAGTAGACAGACGCCAGTATGCATTGGCTGGCGGAGGCCAATAATATTTGTATTCTGGCAAGGAAGGCAGAGATTGTTAGTTCGGGTGAACGAAGAGATGAAATGAGAAGGTTTAAATGGGTCGAGGGATGCAATTGGAGTTGTTACCCCGCAAGTTCCGTCTACTAGCGGCAGTTCTTATCGACGATGCCGTCTTGGCAGTCTAACAGCCATGAACTCCCCTTATCGGGCACTGGCGTTGGAACTATTAATCGTTAGCCCGAACCACTTCCATACTGAGTTTAACTTGAACACTGGATGACTTAGAATGGGGTCAGAAGAAGCTGTGGCTAGCTGAAATGCCTTCTGGAATGGAGGAGACAGCCCTAATCCCTTGGTGGCTTGGGCCTGGACTAATCGGCAAACCCACCTGAACTTGCACCTCCAATCACTTTAGTGCCTGATCCGTGCTTCCGTCCGCCACCAAGGACCGGCCGTCGCGACTGTGCCGTTTTCGATATTTTCGTACTCAGCCGTATCAGCTAGTGGACGTTAGCTCTTACGTTAAGACTCTAGGCCAAAGAGACGAGAGTTGAGAGGACAGAGGATTCAAATGGGCGGGTCGTCAAGGAAGGCTATTGAAGTTAGATTCTGGAGTAATATATAGAGACGGCTGGGTCTCTGTTCTCGAGCACCCGACCTGGACATGTAAAACTGAAGAATACAACGGGAGACAAACAAAGAAATAGTATACTGCTATTGGCCAATCATGACTTGGCATGCCCAACTTGTAATGGTGCTGGCCTTGGTCGGCCTCGCATCAGCACAGTGCACCGGCATGTCAGACGACTGCTCCTCCAACCCCATTCCACTGCGGAAATTCAATCCCTACAACTTCCAAGCTACATCATGCAACCTCAAGTGGAAAGATGCTTGCGTCGGGAAAAAGAACGGCCATAAGCAGCAAAAGCCTCCTCCTTACTGTCTTTGCACTTCTGGGGACTACCCCTCCGGGCTGCTCCCAGTCGACGGTTACACACTGGCGATGCAGAAGGATGACGCCGATGTCAAACCAAAGCCGGCTAATTATACTCTCCACGGTCTATGGCCCAGCTCGTCGGGAGGCAATGGCGCAAAGGACCAGCCGTACGGGTGTCTTCACGGCGAGGAGTTTGATGAGACGATCCTCAAGACCTTTAAGGAACTACTAGATCACTTCTGGCCGACGGACCCAAAATATGGAAACACGATGCAATGCTTCATCCTATCCGAATGGATGAAGCACGGCACCTGCGCCGTCATTCCCGGCGTAGACGGTAACGCATTCCGCCTACCGCAGGAGTCTTACTACCGCACTGCGTTTGTATTAGCGAATGAATTCAATGCCAACGCTGAGTTGCGTCAGCGGCTCGATGATCCTGGGTCGGATGATCTCGAGTCAAATGTCAGCACAGGCTGTGTACAGTGCGCCTATCTCGCTACCGTGGGCTGGGAGGGCACTGATGTACAGAGCGTGCCGCGCATGTCGGGTGATTGCGTTGATCAATGCTTTTCATGCGGTGATAGCTGGGACTTGTGTAAGCCTGCTCAGCTAAATAGCACCGTTGAGCTGGACCCGAGCAATGCGCCGCTGGAAGCGAGCGACAGCGGAACAAGCAGTGATGCGGTGGCCAACTTTGCAGCGCTGGACTTGGCCATCCCAGCCTTTAGCAGCAGCGATAAGATATCACCCTGGGATGGCACTTGGCGCTCCTTCGGTGCAGAGCAGGGAGGGTCTGGCAAGTTCGAGTTCGCGCAGACTTTTACTGACAAGGTTTTGACGGTCACTACTGACAGTCCGTATCCCCAGACATGCAACTACGAGCGGCGTGGGTCTAAAGAGCTGATTCTGCGATGCGGAGGTAATAGACTTGAGGAATGTTTGGTGCAGCGACTACCTGATATCGGCGAGCTGGAGGCAGCATTCCTAGCCTGCAATCATACTGGGCAACCGGCACCGGCAAGTTTCTACGCTGCGATGGACACACCTGGCTGTGGCAACTTTCTCATGTTCCGATGTAAGGCATCGGCCAAAGGTTGTTCCTTTTCTCCGGACGCTATCTCACCGCCGTCAAAGTCTGAGACCAAGACCAAATCTGAGCCTGAGCCTAGCCCTGTCAGCCACTCCCAGCCTGGCATTGCCGGTGCACCTACTTCGCTCCTGGGTTTATGGCGTTCACTTCAGGTATCCAGCCACCATGAAGACGGCCTCGCGAATTGGAGCTTTACATCAGATGGCCAGGCGTCGCTGAAGTGGCCCAACCATCCTGAGCGCGGCGTGGAGAGCTACTCAGTGTCTCACTCTAGACAGGAACCCAACAAAGTACTCCTCGCTAGCGCCAGTGGTGCTGTCACTACCTGCCACTTCAAGTTCCAGTACCAACCAGTATACTCCTACGCCGTGCTCGACTGTACATCAGGAGATAAGAAGACGCAGTGGGCCATGGGGCGGTGTAATCCATGCAGCGCTGAGTGTCGCTACTCGTGCAGTCCTGAGAACGACAACTGCGGTGCGGGTTCGTGCGACCCGGCTGATTCATCAGCTACTGGAGCACGTCCCCCGCCTAACGAGCATAGATGGTGCACTCCCGAGGATTCTGGCTGTTGGCCTACCAAGACGGCTATCAAGAAGTTAGAAAAGGCTCTTGACCCCACAGTACCCCGACTCGGTCTCCAGTGGGGCAATTACCCCACGCCGCAGCCCGCACCAGTTCCGACGGGATCAATCAACAACCAGGCCTTTTACGGTCTAGGCAGCACGGGTCTCAAGGCGCTGTACTATTATGAGAATATCGAGGAAATGCAGCGACCGTGCTTTAACACCAAAGACGGCGTTAATATCTGGAACACCGCGTCCGACATGTGCAAGGCAGCACTGCACCAAAACGAATACCGCAACTGGAACCCCTTCATCGTCGTCTTTCCTCTCAACCAGCGCCATATAACAGCTGCGCTCAAATTCGCTGCGCAGCATCGTCTGTGTATCGCAACAGCAGGCACGGGCCATGAGTACAACAGCCGCAACTCATGCCCTACTGGCGGCATCCTCATCCGCACGATCCTGCTTAAGAACAAGGAGTTTCTTCCGACCTGGAGCGAAGATCCAGTGTTGGCTCCCGCTGGTGCATTCCGCTTTGGCGCTGGGTCTATCTTTGCCGAGATGCATGCTTTTTCTGCCAAGTATGACCGCGTTGTGGCGTCGGGATGGTGCTCTACCGTTGGCATGACAGGATACCATCTTGGCGGTGGCCACGGTCCTTTTGCACCCTCCATGGGCCTTGGCGTCGATAACGTGCTCGAGATTGAAGTTCTGCAAGTCGGTCGCAACGCACACGGCCACATTGTCGTTCACAAGAAGATGGCCAGTCGTCGGAAGAATCCTCAGCTCTTCTGGGCCATGCGCGGTGGCGGCGGTGGTGTCTGGGGCGTCATCCTCTCCATGACGCTCCGCGCTCACCCTGTACCGGATGGAGGTTTGAGTCGCGTTTTCATGTCCCAGTCCGGCACGTTTTGCCCCGGTCCAAAGGACAAGTTTGGCTACGAGTGGCTGCGTGAGATGTGGCCTCGCTTCGCAGAGTGGCAGTTGAGGCTCAACTCCAAGGTGAGCACGCAGCCTGGCTTCTTTATTGACACCAGCAAGTACAAGAAGGGCGACCTTTGCACAGCCACTTGGACTTTCAACTTTGAGTACTTCTACGCTGGTGGTCAGAAGGAGCAGGAGTATGCTATGTTCCGAGATAGTCTCAAGGACGTGCTGCAGACAAAGGCTGTGCAGGAGGATAACTTCAACTCAGCGTATGAGTACCTCCTTTCCATGCCTCCAAACAAGTTCCAGATCTCGGTTATGAACCCCCTGCCCGCTCCCCACGAGCCCTCCGACGATGCCACAGGCTCACAAAACTCAGTCTTTGTCTCCCGCCAAGACATGGAGACAAAGTTCGCCTCGACCATGATGGACGTGCTGGACATCTGTGTCGCCAGCCTCAAAACCCCCGACAAGACATCCCCAGACCCGATGGGATACCGCTGCGGCTTCCACTACCTCTACACCTCGATCACCGGTAATCTCGGCAGTGCACAGCCAGATGACACAGCTATATCTCCCGGCTTCCGCTCGGGTCTAATGCTATGGAACGCACGCACTCTATCGACGAAGCAGTGCGAGGACACGATCTACAAGCTTGGTAGGAACAGTTATTTCTCTGAGAGTTCGTATGTGATGCATAATTGGACGGATAGGTACTGGGGTGAGAAGAGGTATGAGCAGTTGCTTGCTGTGAAGAGGGCGCACGATCCAGAGAATTTGTTCTGGTGTCATCATTGTGTTGGGGATGATCCTGATGATGCGTATGGGAATCCGCTGGGTGTGAAGAAGGAGAAGGATATTAAAGTTGATTCGTACAAGAGGGATGAGTTATAGTGGTCGCGTGGTGCGCTGAGAGAGTACGGGTTGCATGTCAAGAACTGGGCTACATTGTAGTAGTCAGACAGTTGCGTTTGTACTATAGGTCAATTGTTCTGGTCACTACATACCACGATGAGCTACAGGCTTACGCTACAATATGCCGCAAAGATGAATAAAGGTGACTAATCATATAGATAGAACAAATTTTGTGCGCTTAAATACTTTATGTGATCCCAGCTTATCATGTCAATACCAGAATCGCCATATCGCAGCAGATGAAGAGGTTACATGTTTCCGATAACTCTAGAAAGATATATTGGCCAAATGCGACATTAGCTGATATAGTGTGATTTCCAGAAACCCCTGGACATTTTAACGTCTGAAATAGAGAAATGTTAAAATCGGTATTGGCAGACGAGTTTCGTGGCGCATGCTGATGGGGAATGAGATTAGCATGGAAGGGGGCCAAGGGCGCTGGGTTTAGAGGCGTACTTAGACAGACTTGGAAAAATGGAGTCACTGGGCTGCGGAAAATTAAGCCAACAAATCCAGTCACATAGTTTTGTAAAGTATGTCCTAAAGTAGTAGTAATGATAGGGTCGGTTTCTGGAGACCGGGGCAATGGGGTAATGGGGACATTTAACGAACAGAATTAATTAACTAAGAATGATATTATATCTATTTACAAGACCAAGAATTCTGCTTCTGCTTGTGCTCACTTGTCGAAGATACCATAAGTGTTTGCTTAGTGGCTTAGCGCTTGTGGTTTTGCTATCCAGAGATCTCCAGACACCTGCTCCTGCGAATTTCACAAGACTATGGCGGGCTGTTCATTATTATGTTCGTAGGACAAAGAAATATCTAATCGCAAGAACGACCAGCAGCTAATGTCGCCGTTCAGAAACCTTCAATATGTTCATACGCGTCTCATCGTGTTTTTGACCGAACACATGCATGATTCTCACCCACACAATGGACCCCTGGAAACAATTAGTCAAATGTTTAGTCCTAACCAAAACGTATAGAAAGAGTTACGAAACTCCTTTTAACGTTTCGTTTTTTTACGGCCGCGACTCCCTACTAACTATAGAGGGGCAATCACCAACAATTCCGCGAGGTCCAACATTTATCTTGAACACCGTAAAAATGTGTATTGACTGTTCAGCCACTGGTAACAATGACAAATATCCGGCTATAACCTGCGCTACGCATGGTTCGGGTAAAGGCAGCAGCAAAGCTACATTGCAGGAAGAAAGTATTAAAATGAGGAGGATACCCCAGGAGGAAGCAGTTAAAGAGAGGAATGATCGATTCCATGATGGCAATACCCGAGCGGAAGGCGTTTTCGCGCAACATTGTTCTGAATGCTCAAGCCTCAGGGCCTTGTCGGATGCAGACAGGGCCCAGAAGAAACTACAAGACGCAATCCAGGACTTGCATGATACAAAGGAGCGCAACGAACAGGTTGAGAAAGAGCTTGAAGGTCTTTCCAAGTCCGCGGATCAGTACGTCACAGAACTCAGAGGCCATGTTCAGTATGCAGACTACTACCAGATAAGACTCGCCATGGCGGAGTGCAAGTTGGATGTGTCTGAACTCACTGCCGGCTTTGAGGATTTCGTTGAAAGGCGGCGGTTGAAGAAGGAAGCTGGAAGGGAAGATGCCTTCTTGGCCTCGGCGCATGAAGGCGAAGAACGGAGATGGAAGAAGAAGTTGGAAAAAGCGGAAGAGGATGTGCGAGAGGCAAGGACTAGGACGAAGCTGCGAGAACAAAAGCCACGATCAGTCTTTTGGAGTTGGTGATTGGAATAAAGACCTGTCACTAAGGTGTAAACCCTCAGAGATGAGAAGCTAAGTGCTGCGTTTCCTTATGTACATTGCTCAGAGTCACAGAACTCAGTTTTGGGAGTTACAGCCTTGTATGTAAGTACCAATGCTCAATCAACAAGAAAGCTGTTATATGTAAACAATCGATATCACTGGGGACAGGGTTTGGGGTACAAGAAACGATTCAGAGAGTGACTAGAGCGACCAACCAACGAGATAGAGACGGACTGAAACGAGTGAGGATACAAATTCCAAACACCTGCGATTCCACCAAACATGAGTTCCAAGTAGCCAAATCTGTGACACATCTTCAAGCTCGATCTGAATTGCGTTGTCATCCTTCCAACCACATCCCAAACATAGCGGAAGCAAAACCCTAATCAGAGGCAGGGGAAGAAGTCGTCTTAACTGGCTTGGTAGAAGGAGGAGACGAAGGAAGATCATCGCCGGGAGAAGAGGAGCAAGAGCAACCAGAACAGCGAGAACAACGAGAGGAGGAAGACGGAGAAGGAGAAGGAGAGGAAGAGGGGGAAGAAGAGAGAGATGGAGCGGGAGATGGAGAAGGAGATGGAGTAGAGGTAGCTCCCCTAGGAATATCATTAAGCTCCTTCTCGTTAACTGTGACCTTGGCCGCTGTCTTGAAGACGATTTTGTCGTTCAAGGCCTTCACCTCGGCTTCCAACTGAGAACGAACTTGTTCGTCATCCGGTTCTTCGAGCCGGGCTAGGTGCATATCGCGGCGTTTGGTACGTCTCGGTTCCTCCAACCACTCTCTGGCCTCCTCCGTGTTTTGGAACCCTGCAACTATAGGTTTGAGAGCTTTAGACTGTAAATAGCATGGGAGGAGTCATGAATCTTACACTCAGCTCCCGGATACTGGTAAGTGTCTTCCAGGACATCGTTATAGTCGGTTCGGAACCCCCAATTGCGTCCAATACTGACGGCATATACTGACTTTCTCTTCTTACCCATGCTTGTGTTGTTGAGGATTAAGGCTAACTGTGAAGCTGAGTACGGGTTAGTCTTTCGAGGAAGGAAGAATGGAGTGAATTGGAATAGACAATGGGGAGATGGTCGACTACAGTGTAGGAATGAGGTTAGCGACGTAGTAAAGATAGAAGAGGGAGCAAAGATCTGGTAGAAGTGAAAGAAGCTGATGATCGAAATTGATGATTCTGAGAAGAAGGCAGGAGGACACATGTGAATCTTTATAGATAATTATGGCCTACTTGGCCGCCATAGCCCATTCAAGAACCACGCAAACAGTGAGGAGAGGGACGAGGGGAGGAGCATTGTGTCCATGGTGTTCCGCAGTCATCCCTACCAGAACGTCCAAGCCACTCCCTCTCAACTTTCTCAAGTCATCTCAGGTCGACCTGCTCCCAAGGCCAAAACGACTTGCTCGTGATACGTTATCTTACACGATGATGTGAACTAACTATTTGCGGAGTTGCCGAGCTTCAATGCCTCCCGGTCCGGGCCATTGATGTTACAGACGGGAGGACAGGTACTGATCGAGGGGTAGGTACTTTAGCCCTCCAACTCGGAAACGTCCAATGGGAAGCATAAGCTATGGATGTGAATAATGTCAATGACGTGTCGCAGATCAGCATTGGAAGATCTGTAAGCCGTGGGAATGCAGGGAGGGCAGTTGATACCGGCAATGAGAATGTCATTGCTTTTTTTCTCTCAAGACCACCACTGCAAGGAGTCTTGTGATGAGCCGATTCCTTGGCTCGAACATGGTCTAGACACTGCGGCTGAGCGTTTGTTTGCCCCTCAACCTTATCACCCTACTTTAGGGTCAAGTCTGCGATCTTCTGTCTCATCACATATCTCGACTTGCAGCTTTAGCGTGCTCTCGCTCTGTCGCGTCTGGTCCTGTGACTCGGAATTCATCGCTGCCACCTTTTGCCCCCTCAACAGTTTCGCAAATCTGGGAAGAATTGGGCTTAGTTCGATACTTGTATATGCATATACCGGGGGGTTGCTCAGGATTGCTCTTTGTACCTCTCTTAGCCTGCACTCCAATTCCAATTCGGTGACGCAACTATCTCAGGAATGCGCTTCGAGCCCTCCCGATTATTCCGAGACGAATGTTTCGGTAGCGATTGTCGCGGGATGATACTAAAGGTGGCTTCTTCTTTATGAGATATCGAGCCGACTTTCAGGGAGTCTGCGATGCCCCCTTCGTTTTTTTCGTTACAAATATCCTCTTCCTCTTCATCAATGCTTTGCGGCCAATCGATCGTTGTCCAGGCGCGAGTTTCATAAATCCCGCTTATCCCCCCCATCACTTAGACCATCAGTCCACTGTCGCGCAACTTCAACATTATATCTTTGCCATCTACTGCTATCTTCTACCAAACTGCCTTTATCACTATACCTCTTCCATACTCTATTGCTCTTCTTCATAGTATCTCATTGCACCATGTCTTCCTCGTCTTCACTCACTCACTCAACAATCTCTGGAGCTGATAACCGCGGCTCTGGAGGGTCGAGTGGGGGTCAAGCTAGCAGCAACGGCTTTGGGGGAACTGCAGAAACCCCATCCCCTTCTGGTACTAGGCAGGCCGCTAGCCATGATTTTGAGTCTCGCCGGTCTTCGCCCACGCCTAGCCATTTTGGTACTAGCCAGTCCAATGTCTCTGGCTCTCACCAAACCTCCCTGCACCCTGTTTCCCCGCGAGCCCATACCGGGGAAGGTCGTCAGCAATCATCTTTGGAGGATTTCTGGTCTAGAGATGATGATCCCCGCCCTCTTGCTGCTCGCAAGTTGCTCAGGACCCCGGATGATGAATGGATCCGGTTTGTGAACGCGGCTGCTCGCAATTCCGGATACACTGTTCCACAACTGTCCATGGCAAGCACTTTGGCAAAGAAGAACAAAACCTGGAAAGAATCTCGCAACGCCGTCCTCAAGATCAATGTAGATCCTGATACCAGTCACATGTTGAGCTCAGAGGCCATCCTTACCAAGTGTGCAAATCTTGGCCCCCCTTTCGACGCTATCAAAGCTGTGCAGTTCCCTCCACTGGAGACGGATCGGGTCCTGTTGATCGTTCATAGCGACCTCAGCGCTCGAGAGATTCGAATGCACGAGGAAAGATTAAAAACCATTATTAGCACCCAGGATGCGCAGTGTACCCTGAGGAATTCCACATCAGCCCTGCAAACATCACTCGCACCGAGGTTGACAAAATGAAGACTTCCAAAAACAAGGCTTATAGAGACAGGGCTACCCGGGCCAAGTTCAAAGACCCCGAGAAGAACCTGAAGTTTTGGAAGAGAGAAACAGGCCTCAACATCCATAGGGCATACTGGAAGTACGGCCGTTTATGGTTTGTCCTGCGGAATCGCGAGGAAGCCCAGACTGCTGCTTCAGGGAAAATGTATACTTTGGAAGGACTGCAAACTTCGTTCGAGTAAGTAGAGCAGACCGATCAATGCACAACAATATTCTAACCCCGCTCTTAGTTTTCTTGATCCCAAGTATGTGCCCAAGCAGTGCTTCAACTGCCAGGACTTCGGTCATATGGCAAAGCAATGCCCCAACGAGGTTCGATGCGGTCGGTGCTTAGAAGCTCATAAGACAAGCGAGTACAAGGCCAAGCAAGATAAATACAAATGCTTTTTCTGCGGCGGCGCTCATCCCAGCTACTGGCTGAGATGTTGCAGGCACCCTCGGGTTCTGGATGTACTGCACAGGTGCAGTCTATGGCGAGGCCGGGCATCCTGGGATACCAACGGACAGGAGCCTGAGTCTTCTGGGCGGTCAGTTTCGCCTGGTATATCCACTGAGAACGAAAGTCCTCGGTCCAGGTTTGGAATTCAGGAGCTCCTTCGCGAGATCCTCTCTGATCAAGGCGCAGCAACACCCGATGAACCTCTGCTTTCTCATGCCCTCGGCAGAGGTGGAGATATCTTGTTTCGCCTCGTCGAAGCCTTTGTGCGCGTTGCTGCAGGTAACCTAGGACCTACCCTTCCAACCAACCCCGGTTACCACGCACCTCAACCACGCAGGGCATCACCTTCACCTTCAGTCCCATCTATTCACAGCCGCCTGGGCACGGTCACTGGGGATCTATCTCTAGCTAACAGCTCAAGAGCATCGGCAAGGGTCCTTTACGACTATGCTAACCGATCGCCTTCTCGGCAGACTCCATCGCCTGATGAATCTCTGTATGGATCTGGCTTGAATAGCAACGGCGCTTCCCCGGCGAGGCAGGTATCTGTTGAGCCCCCGTTCTCCTCTTACTCTGAGCTGAGTGACGCGGATCTCTTTATGGATACCTTCGAGGAAGAAGCCCAGCAAGAGGTCTTCGAGCTCTCTGCTGATTGCCCAGTTGAATCAATCTTTGAGCTCTCTGCCGACCATCCTTTGTATCCGGAAGGCCACGAGTCTCCAGCCGTCGCACAACAGGCTGAGGATACCTGTGATATGGTGCCGTCGGACTCTGCTCCGGATGTTTCCCTGGATGGCCTTCCTGAGCTCAGTCGCGATATGATTGCCGGAATCATCTCCATCCCTTCTACACCTATCGGTTCAGAGGGCGAAGTCGACTGGGATTTCATCCCTGATACTCCTCCTGGCCTTCTTACTTGTGCTGTCACAGCCGATGAACCCAAGCTAGCGGAGGATGAATGCGATTCTTCCACAGAGACCTCAGTTGCCCGCAAGCGTCGCCGATCCTCGTCTACTGCCACAGATCAGTCGAGTAGCGCAGTGACCTCTCAGGTCTGCCCAGAAGAACCACAGCAGCCGCTCGCTGTACCTCCTTATTCACCGGAAGTTGGCAGCTCATCAGCTGTGGTTCCTTGCTCTCTCCCAGACTCGGACGCCGCTTCTCAGCCTCTAGAGGGGCCTCCTCCAACAGAGAGTTTGTCCATTGGATCTTTGAGTGTCAGGAAGCGGCGTTGGAGGCCGGATGAGGACCTTGACATCCTCGCATCTCCAATTAGCGTCAAGAAGCTGAGAGTTGAGGACTCCCTAGTTCAGGACGGTGGTGAATCGGCTTTGGCGGCGCCGTCCCCAACTAGCCCAACCTCCGGGCCTCTTGCAGTCACCAGCACTGTTGTATCCGACGAGCCTCTCCCTACCAACAGCGACAGCTCCTTGCTCTTGCAGGCGAATCCTAGTACACCTACACTCAGAAGGTCTCGCCGTGGCGTTCAGCCTTCGTTCACACCTGGGTCTTCAACGGCGTCTAGTTCTAGCAGGTCTAGCTCTGGGTCATCGTTCGTCACGGCTGGCTCTAGTCCCAACACTTCAGGTCTGTTGGAATCTCCCGCCAACCCCAGCCACGATCCATCTGACCAGCTTGCTGGAGATGACAGCAGCCCCGTAGCGGGGACGTCTCAGAGCTCGCTTCAGATTGCTCCACGCGAAAGCACACGAGTCTTGCGACCTCGGCGAGGACTCACAGATGACGACGAGATAGCAGCCCAGCTGGAGAGAGACGCTTCTCAAGCTTCTCCCAGTGACCAAGAGCTGCTGCAGCATGACATCGGCCCTGAGTCAGCGGCTGCTTCTGGGGAGGAGGATGGATCTGACGATGAATATAGCCCTGGAAGGAAGGCAAAGGCCCGGTCAAAGCGTAAATCTAAGACTGGTTCAAGAGGGAAAGGCAAGGGTATTGCAAGAGAGGCACCGGACACTGGCCCTAAACAAACGAAGCTGGACCGGTATTTCTCTTAGTTTTGGACATGTGTTTTGGCGTTGAGGAGGAGATGGACGGTAAATTGTTCGGTAGATGTCATATGAAGGCATTCCGGCTGTTAGCATTATTGTTCTCGGTATACTAGGATCGTCAGTTCTCTCTTCTGCCATCAATGACACTACATGGCTCTGTAGCTCGGATGAAGAGCTACACGTCATGAATGAGCCTAGATGAAGGGTATATCCTGCAGTTGAAGCAGTAGTAGAATCGTATAGCTACGCGTTTGGCTGATATGATAGTTTACAACCTCAATATACTCTCGACACCCTTATCCTCAATGCTTCACGGCGTCCTTGCGGCAGCACTATCGTGATGTTGAGAGCTTAGAGTCATATTGTGGCATAATACCAAGGAAAGGTCATGCCGGAGGTTGCGTATGGCGTCGATAACGATGGATCAGATGCCGGCTCACGGACACTTCGTGATATCATGATTATGCACGTATACGAGCTATCCACGCCCTTGCGACCGCTATAGACGCAAACGACCACTCTAAAGTGCTCATGTGGTCACTTAGAGAGGGCGAGAACGTTCCGTGCGAGCCGGTGAGGACCAATGAAGTCGGTGGTCCTGGACACCATGATAATCGCAGGAAGAGGGGTAGAAGCCACAAAGTCGGATGCATTCCTTTCCGACTTGGCGTTGAATGGTACAGATTGAACATAAAAAGGCCCCGGAATCCCTCCCGTTATCCTTCTTCACCATCCCATTTCATTATCACTTTTACCTTTACTCTTTGCAACTACTATTCTTATCGTTTTGGTACTCGTACCATCGTCTGCCAAATCTCTCATACTCTGTAAAAAGATCCTCCAAAAACACTTCGGAAAAGCCTTTTAAAATACCTTAAAAAAGCCTCCTTATATTTTGTTTATCATCGCTTTTGCCTACCTCACCGCTCCACTCTATCGGCACGTTACGCTGCCTATATCTCGAACGATTGTACTAGCTACTACCCGTGGCTACAGCACAGTTTACACGTCAATCACACCTATTTCGTCACGCCTTCTTTGGTAGGTAACTTCTAATTTCACTCAATATATCACTCTGTGTTCCGAATACTGAAGTGTACATATTTCTAGTAGCAGCTCAAGACTTATCTGCAGTCTTGCAAACCTTGAAGGTATTGTCAGCCATTCATCACTCTTCATATGCCCCAACTCACTCTTAGAACTATAGAATACAGCTACCTCAGCTACTGGACCAAGTAGCTACCTACCTACCTATCAGCATACCCACCAGCCTACCAGCCTACCAGCCTACCAGCCTACCAGCCTACCAGCCTAGCTTGCCCGCCAGCCTGCTAAAGTGTCTACCCATTGTTATCAGTACAGTATCAGTCAAAGCGATTGCATTAGTCCAACATGCAGGCCACCAATCACGAGAATACCATGATCGAGGACCTCGAGTACATGAACATCGATGAGGAACTCAGCGAGTTCGATGATGATCATATCGACGGTGGCGAGATCCGGGAAGACGAGACCCTCCTGAAAGAGATCACTATCTGGAGTGTCAATCTCAAAGGGGCTCCCATCAGAATCCGCCACCTCGAGACTGCACTGAGACTCGCACCCGAGAATGAGCGACCTCTTGTCTTAGCCATCCAGGACCCCCCAAACCGCCTTGCATTCCACAATATACCAGGATACAACATCTTCTTCTCCTCTGACCATCCTATTACTGAGGAGCAATACCCAACCTGGCGTAATGGAGCCTCGGCTACCGGGACCAACGCTACGACGAATGCTACCACCAACGCTGCTACCAACGCTGCTCCCACCGTTGCTCCCATCGCTGCTACGTCTGATGGCACTTCAGGCGCTACCAATCCGCCCAATGGCACTGACCCTCCAGCCAGTGCCGCTGAGCTCTTGATGCACAGCGTTTGCTTTTACGTCCACAAGTCTATCCCAACTACTTCTTGGAGAGCGATAATGGATACCGGAGTCAACAATGGCCTCGTAGCTACGCTTCAGATCCTGACTGCCGAGCGCATTCTCACGATTCACAACGTCTACGACCGCAATAACAGACTTGACCTGGACGCTTTGTTCGAGCGCATCGACGACACTACAGGGGATGCTGTCCTCGTTGGTGATTTCAATCTTCATCATCGCAGCTGGAGCGGCCACACGAGGAACGAAACCGCGAAAAGTAGGGACTTTTACGAGAGAGTCAGCAGCAGCAACATGCAACTGCTTACTATTCCCGGAACCATCACCTATTCCAACTCCCAGGACGAGTCTGTTAGGAGTTCAACCATCGACCTGACCTTTGTGAATCGGACCATTGTTCCTCACGTGGTGTACTGCCGGATTCATTCGGCCCCGGGTTTCCGAAGCGACCACCGCATCATCGAGACCAAGATCACTCGCTCCATCGGAACCAAGGTCCGAACGAAGGCTTGTTTAGACAGGGTTGATCAAAAGACCTTCATGAAAGAGCTTGCCAAACACCTCCCTCCCAAGAGCGACCCTCTCAGTACTCGTGAGCAGATCATCAGCTACCTCTCCAAGATCATCCAGGCCTTGAGGGAAACCATTCGTTCGGTTGCTCCCGTGATTGAGATTGGCCTTCAGAGGAAACGACAAACCATCCTCGAGAAGCAGTTGAACGACCGAGTGTCTAAAGTGACTGCTCTCCAAGAGTCCCCTAGAATAACACCAGAGATCCAAGTTCGGATTAAGCAACTTTGACGGTACATCAGGAGGGATAAGCGAGAGCTGTGGCGCATGTTCACCGAGGCGGAGCCCCCATCTATACGCAAGACCTTTCATTTGGCCTCTTTGGGGCAGAAGATCCGTCGACCCGTGGAATCCTCGCAGCTACCTACGATGATCTATGGCGGCATGGAGAATGCCGATACTCCTAAGAAGAAGGTCAGCATGTTCAAGAAGGTCATCTTCCGCGCCAACAAAGGCCCCAAGTCCTGCAGAGCCCCAGTCTCTGCAGACTTCACTGGTCGCGGGGAAGAGATGCATATCCGACAGAGCTTGACCGACAAGGAACTCGAGGAGATCATCAAAGGTTTGCCGAGATGGAAGTCGACCGGACCCGATGAAGTTCCGTACGAAGCCATTCAGCTTGGAGGCGACGAATTGCGATCTCATCTTTTGCGGGCTTTCCAAGTCTGCCTCAATATGAGCTACCACCCGGCCAACTTCAAGGATGCCATTCTCGTCATGGTACGCAAGTCAGGTAAGCCTGCTAACATGCCTACGAGCTGGAGGCCTCTCGCCTTGCTGTCATGCCTCGGCAAGATTCTCGAGAAGATTGTGGCTTCAAGGATGCAAGAGGCCCTCAAGGCAAATCCACATCTTCTACCCGCACGGCAGTTTGGCTGGAGAACGACTTCGGAAGCCCTCGAGTACATGCTTGACAAGGTTTACAGCGCCTGGGCCCTGGGCAAAGTTGTTACCATCATGGGACTCGACATAAGCGGTGCTTATGACAATGTCTGGAGGCAGGCTCTCATCCAAACTCTGGCTGACAAGGGTTTCCCACGATGGATCGTCGACATGATTCAGTCTTTTCTTTCAGATCGCACAGCAAGCTTTCACCTTCCTGGTATTATTTCCGACCGATTCGATCTCAACACGGGCGTTCCCCAGGGTTCGCCGCTCTCGCCTATCCTTTTCCTCTTCTTCGCTGCTCCCCTTCTCCAACGCGCAAAGACCTTCTCGGAACACCCTGTCGAATTGAATGGCAAGAGGAGCAAAGTCAATCTCTCTGCATTTGCATTCGTGGACGACATTTACCTCATGGCCATATCAGACAGTTACGAGGCCAACTGCAAAGGTCTCGAGATGCTACACGAGAGCGTCATGACCACAGCAGACGAGCTGGATCTTCGTTTCGGGGCCGGGAAGTACAAGATTATGCACTTCAAGAAACAACAGAGCAAGAAGGGCCATAACAAAGTGATCCCCAACATACCCGACTTTCACGAGGAGCCGGTACTCAACATGAAAATCCTCGGCGTTATTGTCAGCAGTGACCTTACTTGGGGAGAACACATTACGACGATCATTGGCAAGGCGAAGCAGAGGATAGGCTACTTGAGCTTCATATCTGGGCCGCATTGGGGTCCAAACCTCAAGACAATGCGCCTCTTCTTCATATCCAAGATTCGACCTGTCTTTACATATGCCTGCGGAGCGTGGTTCATCAGAAGGGAACGGGACGAAGACAAGATCAGCTATCAGATCAACAACAAGCAGATGAAGCGTCTTGAGGATGCTTACACCTTCTGTCTTCGCAAGATTTCCGGGGCTTTCTACCGCACTGCTCCACAGATTCTGGAGAAGGAGATGTTCGTCGAGAACATATGGACAGTTCTTCACTCCCAAGCCACTCTACAACGCGCCAAGTTACTCTCCTCTCCTCGTCCGTTGTGGCGAACAGACAAGACCTATAACTTCTTGAAGTCTGGGGTTCGCAACCCGTATGATGATCTGAACCTTGATGCCTGGGCATGCGTCATCAATCTGTTCGAGTCTATCAACTTTAACGAAGATCCAGAGCGCCGTGAAAAGGGGCTGAACGCCCTGGCTGATCCAAAGGCTCGCAACATTAGACTGAGGAAGTTCATCAAGGTTCGAGCGACCCGAAGCTGCAGGGTCAGGTGGGAGAAGTATGTCCTCCATCGAAGGATTGAGAGAGCCAGGACGTCTCGGGGGGACAATAGTGCTCAGCTACCCGCTGCTCTCACGGAGCCTTGGGGTAGAAAGAGCCTTGGCTACTACAAGAAGAACATGTCCCGAGCCCAGACTACGATTCTTCTCCACTGTCGGACCGAGTTCATCGGACTCAAGGCCCATCTCTCCAAGACTGGCATCAAGGAAGGAGGCTGTGGCCGTTGTGCTTGCGGCAAGTTTCGAGAGACACCATTCCATCTTTTCGTCCAATGCGAAAGGCTCAAGGACGCACGCAAGAACCTTGAGGAGAGGGTCGGTCATACCAGCTATCAGGACTTGCTCACCAAGGACAGCCGGGTCGCTACCCAATGGGCCTTGAAGTACTTCGACATTGAGCAGTTTGACTCGGTTAGGTCAAAGCATAGGCAGTTCGAGTTGATCCCCGGTATCATCTCTCCTCGACTCGCGCAGTTGGACGATGCAGACTCACCACCTACTCACTCACGGACTTCATCCTCTCGCTTTTCCACCAGAGGGAGGAACACGCGGACTCCAGGCCGGCATCATCCTTACGCTCCGAGGCATACGACGCATCGCTCTGCTGGGCAGAGGAGAAGGCGTCGTTGACCGCACATTGCGCCTCTTCGTTCCCTCACTTTCACCACGAGATGCCTGGCGCAGTCTCTGGTGCACTCCTTCAACCACGACACCACCACTACCCTATCATCGCACAGTTGCCTGGTGCATCTTGCATTCCCTTGACCCCGGGTGGTTACCGCCTCGATGGTGGGTACCGCTACTACCTCCTGGTATGCTGAGCTATACCATGTCCATCCAGCTTCCTGGCGAAGGTGGATCCTCTACTGTCATGAGATCGAGGCTTGGTTCCTCTCTATGGCAATTTGAGGCGATCCGCTGGTCGGATTGCCCGTTTGAAGCTCTGCTTGAGGCAGAACTTTCCCATTGTGTTAAACCCGAAGTGTATTTTCTGTGAGTCCACTTCCGATCGCTTGTGAAGGCTTTGGTCCGATGCTGACTCTTTGCGCCAGAACCTTGTGATTGACTCATAAACTCAACTCCGCCACCACCTTCCGATTGCCCCGAACCTTGTAAGTTCATTTCACCATCACGACTCGGCGAAACGGACTGACTTACCCGTCCAGCCAGTCCAACCTTCTTGTATGACTCATCGAACCGTCGACTTGGACCTTTACTGACAGTTCAAGCTCAGCCACAATCGCACCGACATACGTGTTATCACGAAACTTTCTGTAAGCCTCTTTCCCTCCTTCAGCTCTCGAGTGACTCACAGGTTAACTTATAGCCAGTCAGGTCAAGCTTTTCTCGTGTGTCAGTATTTTTCGCCAAATCCAAATGCTGTGCGCCGTACCTGGTCAGTATCTCTGTTAGATGCCTATCTTATGTTAAGTGCCCAAGCTAAACCGCCGAAGCAGGATGTCAAATACGCCTCGTCCACTGAGCCTTCCGTAAGTTTCAAGCCCTTTTGACCTCGGTATCTGCCCTATACTGACTTTGGAAGACAAGTTGACTCATACGACCAAGGTCTCTTCGTACGTTGGGACATTCCACTTACATCACTTCGGAATACTAAACATAATAGCACAGCGCATCCATGATGTCAGAGACTTCACGGGGTATGTATTTCCCATCGATTCTTTAAGTCAAACCCGCCCTGCTAATCAGCAAGTAGTCGATTGCGAGCCATAGGTCGATCAGTGACTGGATCCAAGCCGTATTGTAAGTAGCATCCGACTCCTGGTATTCACGTACTTACACTTTCACACAGTTCTCTCATGAGCTCGATCTTCTTCTTCCTTTCCTCGTCCTTCTTAGGGTCTGCATCAAAGGCTCCCCATGCTCTCCTTTCTTGCCGGATGACTTTGATGACCTCTGGAGGGATGCCTAGGGCTGTTGCTGTACAGGTGAGGCCGTGGGTGCCAAGGATAGCAAGCTGTAAGTTTTACCTGTAAGTCTTTACTCATCTATTGTCTAACTATCGCCCAGGGATTAGGATGTCGCTGCTTATCTTGTCATATTCCCCGTTGGTGCTGTATCCAGTGACTTCGGTCCGTACACTTTGGAGGTTGTTGAAGCTTTCTGCTGTACGAAGCCTGTAGCTCTTGTTGTTGATTTCCTGCAGCCTGACAGGGAATTGGGTAAGTTTCGATATACGCTACAGGGTCTACATCTGACCGGGTTATAGTTGCTGTATCTGTGGGCATCATACGTGCAGGGTGGATCCATGCTGACAACTAGTCTTGTTGGTAAGTATTTGTTATCTTTATCCAACAGCCTGAGCCCTCTGACATGTCTAGGAGCTGCCATTTTGAAGATCTGGGGTTTTGTGGTGTTGAGCTAACCTTTCTTGGCCGACGGATTGGAGGTACGTAAGTTACCTCTGGACTTTTCATTCACTAAACTCACATCAGTAATTAGCATCTTATATGCCTCCAAGGCCGGCCAAAGAGTCATCTTTTAGGTTTTCCTGATATCAGCCTTTGGCTGTAGCAATTGGTTAGTCATTATGGTATAATGTCTAAGTTGTTAGCTAGATGTGTTATTTACAGTTGCGGCTTGTGGCTGAGAACTTAAATCAGCAGACAGAACTTAGTTTCATATAATACACTTGTATACATGTCTGTCTGGTTATTCATTGGTGAAAGTATGTTATTGACTATTACCCATAAGGTTAAGCTTTCGGGCGCGCCCCGATATCGCTCTATGAGTCATGTACTTCCGGTGGTCAGCCGCTTATAAATTACCTCTTCTTATCTCTTGCCAAAAACACTACTTTCTAATCTTTCCTCTTTAGTCCTCGCACTTGACCCTGACACACGAGACAAAGCTTCACGATCATGCCTCTCAAGACCCTCCCTGACACGCCAAGGGCTAGCTTCCTAGGTCTTCCCTTGGAAATGCGCCAGCAAATCTACCTGGAATACTTCACCATCGAAGGGGGATACGTCTACGACTCCGCAACCGACAAGATCGTGCAGGCAAATCATTGTCCAATTGACTTATCACTACGGCAAGTCTGCCGCACGATTGCACACGAGACATACGATTATCCTTTCACACTCAACACCATCACATTCTCCACAGCTTACAGACGGGATTGGAGAAAGAAGGCGGCGGCGCTTGACTTCATTCTATCCTACCACTGTCTTATTATTGATGCCATGCTTGCTCGCCTCAGACACTACTTGACTCCAGATATGTATGACACACCTAGCCAGCAAGACTCTAGATACATGCCCGACATCAAAAAGAGATTATCAGACATAATCGCCTTTGAGCGCCGCCAACCCGATCGCAATATTCATGTAAACACGGACTGTTTATTAAACGACTTCAAGAAACGTTGGGGAAATATAGATAATTGTGGCGACCTGACAAAGATATCTATGCATCACAACAATATTTCGAGGAACCGTGCCTATACCAATCTGCTGAGGCAAATTGCAAGCAAACACCCTCAAAAGTTCAGAGAGGCTATTGATGATCTTCTACCAGGGTGGGCTAAGTCCAAATCAAGCCCAACTTCAGACTTCTTCCATCTTGGTTTCGAGTTCTGGGCAATACCTTCCTTGCCCGAAATCACAGATATGGTGGAGCGGTTTGGTTTGGGAGAAAGATGGGATAATTTAGACCCATGGCGCTACAGCGAATATGACAAAGAGGGCTACACTGGCACTATGTACTGCTACCAGCGCAAGCATTTCTTTTCAGCTGCAGCCTTAGCCATCCGCTTCCTGAAAAGCATCTCACAAACTCAGCGCCTCCTCATCACCAAGTTGACTCTGAACGAGGATAGAATGGCCGTTGGAAATCCCGAGTGTCATACAATTGGTTTTATACCCTTTATCAAGGAAAACCCCAAGCTATTCGTTAAGCAACGGGTTAGCCTCTGGCGAAATATTTTCCCCAGGGGCTGCGCAACAGAGCTAAGCTGTTTTCCCACGGCCAACGAGTCCATCATTGAACCCGATGAGGGTATCCCGGGTCCACATCAAGTGCACTATCAATGGGCAAGCAGGATCATTTCCATTTTCATCATGCATACCCTGGAGGCGCTGAAAGAAGGCTTGCCACCGAATTCATACTCCCTTATCCTCGATGGAGAACCTGAGATGAACCATGCAACGGAAACTTTCCGATATCTCATGGATCGCAAGATTGCCTGGATGACCGCAAATACCGATTGTGTGGCCCAGGGAGTCCTCGCATCACCAAAAAGCCAGAATTACCCGCTTCAAACCTGCTCCTCTACAAGCGAACCTGTTGTTGTCCATGACAGAGATTCGATCATACAGTGCAATTTCACCCTGGACCAGCCCTGGAACTACAATGCTATTGCGGGGGACAACGGCAAAACAATTAAGGGTTGGAAATCGGTCAACGCTGTCGAGCGAGATTATGGCGATGATCAGGATGGCTTGTTCGATGTCTCGAATGGTAAGGTAGATTGGATGCAAATCAAGGGCGAGTATTTTGAAATGAAACCTCGCTCTGACTTATCGGAAGGGGAAATCAAGGCTCTTAAATCTGGTGGTTTACGTGAATAACTAGACTCTATAGCAGTTTACGCTGGACTACTTCCCAACCGCTCCGTATACCTGCGGTGTCATTGGTAGTAAAAGAATCCACATCAGCATTCTAATAAATCAGGGACATATCTTAGCCCACCACGTTGACCAAAGCCGTAGCCAAGCACCATGAGTTTCCGAAGTAACAGGGTCAGACAGATTGCCATGGCATCAAGTTGTGAGACGGGCTCTTTGATCGAGGATGTCCTTCAACAGTAGCCGTCTTCTCATGTGTCATCATGGACCATACAATAGACAAAGTCCTCGAAGTTTTAGTTTACTTTGGATATTATGTAGCTTTACGCGAAATTGAGCCTAGTTGTAGTAAGGAGCCAGTGACGCTTTGTATTATTGGCTTGGTCTCATCCAATGACAAGTGCCTCGACACGCGTTCCAATTGGCCAACGATTTTGGCCAATCGATGGCATCATTCTTGTATGAACGCCATTGGTAAAGTATTCCTGTCTACGTGTCAGAACTGAGATTTCTCAGGCTTGTTGAATCTCCCGATGCACCTTACGAAGTTGCAGCCAGGAGCAGATCTCACAGACGTCGGAGACATGTAATGGTGTCTACGAGAACCTTTAGCCTAAGTGGCAAAAAGACTCAGGTAAGATTTATATGCTTTAGTAGAATTCTGGGCCAGGTTGTTCCACTATCCCGATTTATAATCAGAAGCTTGACTTCCCCTGTAGGTGTATACCCTGTCGGTGGAGGGAGGAATGCACAGTTGGTAATTCGACCACTTTTTATTGGTGTAAGCCGTGCTTCTTCAAATCCCCAATTGGCAAGAATCGTCGCCATCAGGTCATTTACAGTCTGTGCACGGCACTCGGGTATTTCCAAATCAGAGATAACTGCAACATTACACGGCCAGTGGATCGGAACCTAAACGAACCCTTGATATTTAAAGAAGCGGGGTAATAAAGACCAAAGTTGCTGTAAAGAGGCATTTTAACTCATCCTACATTCTCGCAGGTATCCGTGATGCTACTGAAGCTGCCATGGTGATTCATGGGCTTGATTCACGGGCTGCTGCCTTTATCGGAATTCTCGTCGTCGTCGGGTATCTTGTCTCAACAATTCATCAATGGGCTCGCCTGCGCCATTTCAAAGGCCCTACGATTGCAGGCTTCAGTCAGTTGTGGTTGATCTCACGCGTTGGTGGTGGTCGTACCCATCTTGACCTTTGGGAAGCCTGCAAGAAACATGGTGAGTGCAAAGCCGGTGACATCTTGGTCAACCCGTCATAGGGTTCTTTTATTAGGCCCTTTCGTCATTAGCTGTGATCTTGTTGTACATAATGCCACTATCTCGACTTTGTTCCACCATACCATAGCTCGCAAATTGACACCAGTGGACAGGCGATATCGCACGCGTTGGACCAAACGACCTCATCACGTCCGACCCAGATTTGATGAAACACATGCTCAATGTGCGCACACGATATAAACGCTCGAGCTGGTACGACGCCATGCGCTTGGATCCAACAAAAGACAACGTCCTGTCTCAGCGCAACGATGACCTGCACGCCAGTACCCGTTCGAAAATGGCAGCAGCATATTCCGGCAAAGAAGTTGACACCATCGAGACCACAGTGGATGAGAACGTAGAACGCCTACTCGAGTTGCTCGACACCGAATACATAGCCAAAAGGAGACCATTTGACTTTGGATACAAAGCTCAATATTTCACCCTCGATGTCATTTCTGCATTGGCCTTTGGCGAGGCGTTTGGCGACTTGGAGACTGACTCAGACGTGAATGGTTACATCACTGCGATGGAAGAAAGCATGCCGACCATCATAACTACTACCGTAATGCCGTGGATGATCAAATTACTGCAGCTTCCTATCTTCCGAAGCATGCTACCGTCGGAGAGGGACAAAGCCGGCGTCGGTAGAGTCATGGCGATCGCGAAGAAGGTCGCGGCGGAGCGATTTGGCCCAAACCCCAAGGTTCAGAGAGACATGATTGGCTCGTTTGTTTCGAGGGGGCTGCTCCAGTATGAGGTCGAATCGGAGATCCTGATGCAAATGTGAGTCAAGGTTTCACTCTCCGTCTCACATCACCAGGTAGTTAACACTCGACAAGTCTAGCAGGCGCTGACACGACCGCGACTGCCATTCGAGCAACTCTACTCTACATCATTACCAACCCCCGTGTAGTTCATGCCATGAGAGTAGAGATCGACAATGCGAAACTAAGTATGCCAGTCGTCACAGATGCCGAAGCACGCGCGATGCCATACCTCCAAGCCGTTATCAAAGAAGGTCTTCGAATCCACCCGCCAGTCGTTGGCCTCATGAGCAAAGAAGTCCCTCGGGGTGGGGATACATTCAAGGGGCAATATCTACCTCAAGGTACCAAGATCGGCTACTGTGCGTGGGGCATATTCCGCCGAACTGACATATGGGGTGAAGACTCCAATGAATTCCGTCCAGAAAGATGGCTGGATTGCTCTGAAGACAAACTTCGTCTTATGGAAGGGACTCTTGAGCTTGTTTTTGGATATGGGCGGTGGCAATGTCTCGGAAAGAACATTGCGCTGATGGAGCTGAACAAGGTATTTGTTGAGGTAAGTTCAATACGACTTGATACAGGTTGTTTCGAGCGTGTCTACTAATGCTTCAACGTATCTGTAGCTAGTCCGGCGTTTTGACCTCGCTGTCGTTGATCCGATCAAGCCATGGCAGTCGGTCAATGTTGGCGTCTTCCTGCAATCAGAATACTGGATCAAGGGTTATAAGCGAGAAAGCCTTTCGTAAATGTCTCCGAACGTTTAAAATTATGGCATTCATCTGCTCCCTTCTATGGAGTGTTTCAAGATTTGCGAAAGAGACTTGAGAAAACCACCATGGGCCGCATGGCAAATGAACATGAATACCGGAAGGTTGACAGAAGATAATAAAAGAATGCTTTGACAGAGCAGAACAGTGATCTGGTTGTATTGAACGTTTCTCAACCTCAACACGAGGTATGTCTGGTAAGCATAAGGCGTGAGCAGCTACTGTGACTCGAGGTATAACATTTCATGAGGGAAAGTCCTTAAATCGTAAGTTTATCCGACCCGCATGATCCAATCAGCCTACTATCCAACAGCTGCTCATGATCCGATCCAAATGCAGGATGCAGCCACGCGGGAGGCAAAATTACGCTTTCTGCTTTACAAACACTCTTTATGCCAAATCATCCTCATTCCAACGTCTCCCATTGATCATCCAACGGCCAGCAAAGATTTCCGCTATAAGCCAACAATCCAGCTTATTGTTCCAAGTCGTGACAGGTAGTGGGCGTAGCAGTAGGGCGAGGTCTTCCAACCGTGCAGCTTTTCGCTGGTAAGATGTGTTGGTGATACAAGAACTGACAACCTACAGCATGAGATGATGATTGCCCTTATGTGCAAGACATAAACGTCCAGGAGGCCGGATCATGCTACATCCACCAAGACGGCCGCTGATGGCTTCGGGCCAAGTACATACATCTTATACCAAGGCCAGAAAACCTCAAGTGCCCAAGTTCTTAGTCGCTGGGCGCCAGCGATGACCTGGAACGTCGACAGCAAACTAGCAGTCGATCCAAAAGAGCCATGCGCCGTAAAAAGGGTCTAAAAACACATCGTCAGTACATTCAAGTCACAAGCGATCAAAGCACACTTACAGTCTTGCCATCGACAAAGGTCGAAGCCACGAATTCCTAGACGTGTCCTCGGACAATTATCCCAGGGATAAAGGCTAAGTGCACCAAGGCGCTGCCAGCAAGAGACTTCAGATGTTTCCACTGGGCCGCATGCTATACGCCCATTTGAAGTTCCGCCTTTTGCGCCATCTGCGCACCGCGCTTCGTCTCAATACTGAAGGAAATAGGTCGATCGAGGAGGCGCTGGAAGCTGGTGTGGTTGATGCTGTTATCCGTGGCGCTAGCGCAAATTTCGTCGATGAGCTTGGTGGCATTGAGAAGGAGCGTGTCCTGCTCGGGGTTGATGAAGCTGGCGTAGTCGACCTTCTTACCAGCGGTGGCGTTGATCTTGTACTCGGGGAGGATGGAGGCGGTGGTGCTGTTTGTGGGTTCTGTTAGCTATGGCTGGAGTGAGGAGAAGCGGGTGACACACCAGGATTTGAAACCATCAAGCTGTGTCGGGCAAGGGTTGGTTCCGCGGAAGATAATGTTGAGGAGAGAGGTGTGAACATGGTTGTTCCAATACGTCTCATCGGCCTGATACTCGTCGCAGTCTCGAGCGTCACTCACAACTTGTAATACATCGCCAAGTTTGAGTTGTCGGTGCAAGGGCTGCGGATAACGCTCTTTATCGTCGTCAAACCTATAAGGCTTGAAACGACCATGGGCAGTCGTCTTTTCACCAAGATCGTTGATCTCGCCCTTTCATTCGTCAGTCAACCATGGTATGCCAGCAGAAACAATGGCACCAACCTTGAGATACACCGGGACAACGCCCTCACCATTTCCAATTTCTTGCATGTCGTTCGCCAGTTCAACTAGAGATGCTGGAAGAGTATCGTCCGACACGTCGAGCTTTACATGGTCAAGTCCATCTTCCTGATACTTGAGCGCTCGCAAAGCCTTGGTGGGAGACGAGGTACCAGATGCACCAGTACTACCAGTGCGCTGGGAAGCACGATCATCAGACAGCGAAGGCTCAGCTCTCGGGGTCTGCTCATTCTCCTCGTCATCATCCTCAACTTGACCACGGCGCGCGAGCGAGGGGACATGGCCCATCGTTTTGCGCTTCTTGGCCACAGGAGTGACTGGTGGCATCTCCTCTGGTCCAGACTCTGGTGAGTGAGGCGGCGAGGGAAGAACACCACCGACAGAGAGGGAGCGCTTCTTGGAGATAAGTCGCGCGGGATAAGGGGAATGGGGAGGGATGTCGTTGAGCCAAAAAAGAATGCGTCGGTTGATGCCGTTCATGATGCATGCGGGAGAGAAATGCGAGATCCTGGCAACGCTGCTGAAATGGATCTGAAGCTGAGGCCAAAGTGGAGTCAGTTGGTGATGCTGGGCTCTGGTTCACGCGGCAACTAAAACTTGCCAGTGTCAATTAAGAGTGATTCAGCGCAGCCTCGGTACAACAATCTTCCGCTTATGAACGCTCATTTCAACCAAAACCCTCTACAACGATCATGACCAACAGTGCATTCCACTGAACAATTAAGTAAAATAGTATTTGAACCTAAGAGTTCTTTGGTAGAAAATCCGTCATGATTCTTCGACTGCGTGGTCCTGATTAGAACAAGGCTATCATCATCGCGATGTGAGTAGGTTGGCTTGTCAAAAGCTTTGGGTCGCCAAGCAATCAACAATTAGAGGGCGCAAAGAAATGTTTGAAGGTGAGGATTTCTGGCAAACTTGGTGATGCACACCTATTTTCACATCGCGTAAGAACTCTTGAGTTTCTGTTATTACTGCGTCATTTGAGCTGTGTGTATTGTTTGTTCTGTTGATACACAAATACAGGGTAACCAATACCTCATCACGCTCAACGGCCAAGCCGACCAGGATCCAGGTACTGTGGTCCAAACCCCCAAAGCTCGGAAAACCTAACCCCCCAAACACTGTAAAGTTTAATTGTTTATCTTATATCTAGTTCGGTCATTCCTCGGTAGTGCGTGTCCTAACCAACTCTGACTCTTTTTACTTTCAATTAGCCAGCATCTCACAGAAATGAGCCCGCAGAAATCGCACAAGACACAAATTAGATCCTTAGTATGTTCTACGCTTCATCTAAAACTTTCTCCTAGTGTAATTTTATGTTTTATGCCCTATGGCCCTGTCTCAAAATAGCAGCCGAGTACCTACATCAAATCAGTTGGCAGGCCCAAAGATTGTATCACAAATTACCTACAGGATTATTCCAAGCAAAGCCATCATGAGGCCGATGATAGACTTATCAGCAACGTCTCTGCCGGAAATGTACCAGCCGATAGCAACAATGATGCAAGTCTTGCCGTGAGCCACAACGGTACTAGTCACCGGACCCATTTCCGCAATGATGAAGAATTGGGAAATGTTGACCAATGCTGCGAAGATGCCAGACTATATGACTTGTTAACAGAAGTTTCATCTCAAGAGACAAAAACAAGTTTAAGGCGTACCATCAAAATCAAGACCCAAAGATCCAGAGACAAATCTTCCTGAGCAGGAGCCTTATCAACAAAGGGTATAAAGTAAAGCAGCAGGAACGCAGAGAGGGGAGCTTGGTTGAGTAACAGCTGCATGCTTGTCATACTCAGCTGCCGTCTATAACTCTCAAGCCATACTGTATAAAGTGACGAAAAGAAGATGCCTAAAAATGCAAAGACAACACCCAGCAGCCCAGTGGTCGCAGCACTCGCAGTCGTGGCTTTGGTGTCAAAGTACGACACCATTCCGACACCGACACAGGCCGGAACCAGTGCCATACAAGCATAAAAAGGAAGAGTAGCTCTATACAGCACAAAGTTCATAGCAGCGACACAAGGTGTGATCAGAATACGAGAGATCTGGTAGAATGGGACAGACGAGTATGCTAGCGAGAGGTTCGGGAAGATGACGTTCAGGGCCATGACGGTGGAAAGCGGTATCATCTGTCGAACGGCGACGGATTTAGGTGTGAAGAAAGCAAATCTAGGGCGGGAGAGGATGAACAGCACGAGGCCGGTGATGGTGAAGTGAAACGCTGCGAAAGAGAGTTGTGCATGTTTGAGGGAGTTGCCAGAGAGGATAGCTTTGTTAGTGAAGACCTGAAATACCGTAAGCATCACAGCCACAGCCACGTTCGAGAGAGGTGAGAGAGTATACAATCAAGACTGTCGCAACAACATTGACCAACGTCCAAAAGATCGACTTGATCGCCGAGCTCGAAGCTCTACGCACAGGCTGTGCCGATTCCTTCTCTCGTACATGTTCATTGTGTTCAGACAGAAGGGGTTCATCATCGTGAAAGAGCTCATTGAGCTCAAAGTCGCTCGGTCGTCTACCGAATTCTTCATCATCGATGTTGGACGTCTGAGGTGAAGAATCTATCGTTGTCGCGGACGGAGACGGAGATGGTACCTCCGGAATAAAGTACAGCTTTGAGTCTGCTTCTCGTGACATGATTGGTTTAAAGAGTGACAGAAGTTGGATTAATAGGCATAGAAGAAAGGTGTTGAGCTGTTCGAGATGAGAGAAAGGTTGGTGAGGCAAGGCGCGTGATGTAGGTGTAGTCTAAGTAATTTAACTCAGAATGACACATATTCAAAACCCTTTTCGGTGAGCGCATCAAGCTCACATGTAAAAGTAAGAGATAGGGATAATGACCTGTCGTTTGACTAAGTGCCTGGAAATCGAAGCTTACTTTCTCCATCTTCATATCAGGGCTGATCCCCTGCGCACAGAGGGAGCTGAAGCTTTACTGCCCCCCACGGAGCAACTCTATTTCTAGAACAGGATTATGGTAGAACCTACCTATTTCCACACCCGATAGGGACATCAGAGAGAACGGAAGCTTAAGAGTTAGAACGAGGATACTAAAATACACTTATTAAAGAGTCCCCTGAGACTAGGCCAAATTACCTAAATATTTCCATCCCTTAGGGTGAAGGCTTTGAGCTTTCTTGCTCCCCTACTGTGGCATGCATTTAATGGGGAAAGGCAATCCCGTTCGTGTTACTAGACGAGAAAACCAGCTTTGCCTAGTGTAAGGGCGGAAGGGTTAGCCGGATTTGTCTCATCCCTTGAACGGCAAGGGATAGCGCCTGACAAGATAGACTAACAGTTGTTGACGACACAAACTAGACTAAAAGGATAGCGGGCCTTGGAGGGGTTATCGAGGGGTCGCTTAGTCCCGAACGACTGTATGCTTGAAAGTAGCTAGCGTATAGCCAAGCGAGCTGCATTTGTGCGTCAGCTTCTGGGCGATGTGCCTTGTGTACTCGCCAGCTAACAGTCAGTCTAAAGGTAATTAAGGATTCTTAAGGGTCCTGAGCGGGTGCGCTACCGTAGTGCTGAGATCTTGGCAATACATCGCGAGCATATAGTAAGACAGTGGAATGACAAAGCATCATTGGTGATGTTCATAACAAGTAAGGCTTGAGCAGGAACAAAATATAAGGACATTTCTGGAACCATTCTATGAAGTAGTTGAAGCGGCTTCGGCCGTAGTCGTCGACGCCACAATCTGACCCATGCGATTATCCCCAGGACATCTCTCCTTCTCAAGCTTCATGCTAAGAATAATATGTATCTCCGGGCAATACTTCAAAGCCTCTTTCCTAGCTTCAGGGAACTTCCAGACCTCTTTGTCGACCTGATCCCCATGGGCTCGAAGGTTGTACCCCATCGGTTGCAAGGTGATATTGTTCTGAACAGCGAACGGTCGATCTGAGGTCATGGCTAGCTTTGCATCTGGGAGGACTTCGAGGCGTGGGCCGAACCATGAGTCATCAGTTGCGCTGTCGTTGTATCGTGATTGGAAGCTTAGGATCTGCTTGATGGCTGAGACGCGACGGAGAGAGAGGTCGCCGTAGACTGCGAGGTTCTTGTTTTCTCTGTTGCTAGACACATATTAGTTGGTAGAGAAGATGGGGAAGAGGTGAGCTTACTCTGTAGCACCAGCCCAAGTATAATCCAGCCAGTCATTTAGGCTCAACTCCGAGTTGGCACATAAAATACTGTCCGAGCTGAACATTAAGAGCCACTCAACCCCAGGTAGGAATTCGTCATAGAATCTCGTATCAGTAAGAAGACGACTTCTATCCTCCCTCGATCTAATCTTCCATGGCTGCGGCAGCTGCATCATCTCAATCTTGCCTAAACCCTGCTGAACCTGTATTCCAAACGCTCGACCGACAGTCCACACGCTTTTTTTGGATCCGACAAAGATGAATCGCCAGTCTGGCGGCACAACACCGATCATGTGGAGGATGAGAGGGACGAGAAGCGGTAGGGGCTCGGGTTCGATAATGAGCGCTACCTTGGAGGCGTTGTAGTTCTTTCGAGGATCATTGTTGGGGGACCAGTCGATGGCGATGGAAGGGAGGTTTTGGCGGGCTGAGGCAATGGCGGGTTTGCATTGTGGGAGGATGATGAGGGCGATGAACCATCTACGTAATTGTTAGATGATAAGCGGTTGGGGGATGTTGTCGCTTACGCAGATAGTAATGCTACAATAGCAATGAGGGGAGCTTGAAGAGAATCTCGCCGAAGCTTCAATTTGACAAAGGAAGGCATCATTATTCGACTTGAAGATTTGACAAGGAATGGCATGAATTAGTGAATGCATGAAAGGTAAGTCATGAGGGGGATGAAATGGCAGGTTCCTCAGTGACCCTCTTGGCTTGGGAACACGGGACCCCCAAGAACAACCCACCATTCAAAGTTAAAAGAACAAAGTGTCTTCATGTTTGTCGCTAATGAATTAGCTGGTTTTGATCGACAGGTAAAGCATTGGGGATGAGTTTGTGGCGTACTCGGACTGGTCCATACTGTTTTTGGCAATCCCTGCGCAGGGTCTGGCACCAAGGTTGGACTAGATTCACCGGACAAAGCGACACCCCGAGCAAGGACGATAAGAGTTCAGCTCGATTCGCAGTGCAGTCTCAGTCTATGCAACCGTACTCATTTCTGGGTAAGCAACTACTTTCAGTGCCTACCATCGCCATCAACCTCTACATGTCATCACGATGATTACTTCAGTGTTCCAAGCGCAGCGACGGCTATCGTCACTGTCGCGGATCGCTATTATCGCTTTGATGGCATTATCTGGGTAAACAGACTCCTCCTCTAATCAACGCGAAGATACTGACAACAATTGCAGCATCCTCATCATCCTCAATCTGACAGAAGTGCCGCTACCGACCCTCCCGAAAATCACGCTCCATTACGCCAATCAGTCCATATACAACGAGTCCAAAGTAGCTCTCCTCGTAGAAAACAGACCGCAGCCGATCATCGCGCCTCTGATTCTCAAGTTCATGTACCAAATGCCGCCAGACTGGAAGTTTCGCTTCATGGGCTCCAACGAATCAGTAGCGTACGTGAATTCCTCCGCTGCGATGCGCGAGCACGTCAAGTCTGGGAAACTGGATTTGACGTACATACCCTCAAATATGAGCACTGCCGGCCAAGAAATGATTTCTCGTTTCTTGACGAATTTATGGCTGTATGACACTGTGCTACAGCCGGCGGAGATGCTGCTCGTCTTTCAGACGGACTCGATACTCTGCGCGAATAATAAACGAACGATTGAGGAGTTTCTGGGATACGACTACGTCGGAGCACCTTGGAATACAGGAGGACAATATGGTGGGAATGGCGGCTTGTCGATCCGTCGGGTGAGTAGTATCGTCAGCATTCTGCAGAACCAACAGCGCACCGACAACAGTGATCCCGAGGATGTCTGGCTCTCAACACGCTTGGGCCATCATGTCGACGGTCGAGTCGCAAATGGCTCTATATCCCAGCTTTTCTCAGGCGAGATGAACGGCGGGCCTGGGGAGGTAGTACCTCAGCCAAAGTGCGACGGCGACTACGATGACGAGGAGTGTGAGCATGTGAACATGATGAAGCAGATGGAAGAGCCTGGACGACCGGGGCAGTGGGTGAAAGGTATAGATAACTGGCGGGAAGGTTTCTATGAGCCTATGGGGTATCATATTGGTGGAACGGGCTACATGCATGGGAGTATTTGGGGGACGAAAGAGAGAAGGGAGCATATCTATAATTATTGCCCTGAGGCTAAGATGGTGCTGGATATGGATTGGGCCTCTTTTGTACCAGGGAATTGTGCGAAGGATTGGTAGATGTTGATGGCGATGGCATTTGGAAGCACGTGGTTAGCATAGAAAGAATAAGATCGCGTCATTTTCAACGTGTTCCTCGCTGAGCAGTCTGATAGGGTGCATACAAACAGGATTGAACGGCTTGAAAAGTTGCGGGAGGTTATGTGTGGTGATAAGCGCTCGGGGCCATACGTAAAACCTGAGAGTAAAACTTCTGGCTCACATTTTAGACTTTATATTATTCAAAGAACCGAGAACGTCCAGTAAAATGAATCCAGAACATGTAAAGAGAGCTTTTCTATCAACGAAGCGACAACTAAATTACGGAGAATGATGAGAACACTGGCAACTACTGAACCCCGGCAGCCTTCATCCTCTCAAAACACTGCCTGTACGCATCATGAACCTCAGGGATCTCATATCCATACCCCTTCATCTTCTTCACCAACTTAGTACTATCCAACTGACAATTACTTCTTCCAGCCTTGATCACCTTAGACTGCTCCTCAATGCTAAAGTTCTTCCACGTGAACTCGGGTCGTACAATCTCCTTGAATAAGCCGAGCACCTCGTTATGTGAGATAGCCCCGGGGTTTGTAAAGTTATAAACCCCAGTATCTTTGTTCTCAGCGAGGATGATCGACGCAGGGAGGAGGTCGTGGAGAATAGTATTGCTATTGGGTATGTCGACAACGAATTCGTACTTGGAGATCTTGGTGACGAAGTTGCGGGGGTTGAGATTGTCGCTCACTGGCATGCGAAGACGGAGAATCAAGACATTGTCAAAACTTGCCAAGATCTAGAATCATATTAGAAACGTAGAGACATTCTCAAGATTTATAACACTTACAGGTTCAACGTGGGCCTTCGTCATCGAGTAAAAGCTCCCATCAAAGTTCGGAGCGTCAGTCTCCTTGAACCCCTTCCCACCGATGCGATGCTCCTCATCGTACTGATAAATGCACCCAGTAGCAAAAACAGTGCAGTGAATCCCTCGTCGAGAACACTCATCCGCAAGCGTCAAAGTCCCAATGACATTGGAAAGGACCGTCTGCGCCTTGTTATCCTCACACCAATCAACATTAGGTCGACCAGTACAGCCCGCAGCGTTAAGGACGTGCGTTGGCTTGAAGACTTCGAGTGCTTTGGCGACACTGTCACGATCTTCCATGCGGACTGTCGTGCTGTAGACCTCTTTGCCTTGGCGGAGGAGGAGGTCCTTCAGAAGGCCGGCAATCCAGCCGTTGCCGCCCCATATTAGGAAGCGGTTGGGTATACGAATGTGCAGGCCGTTAAGGCCATTTGCGCCGTCGGTGTGAATTCCAGGCATTTTGTTGAATGTGTTGTAAAGTTTAGTAGGAGTGAAGTACGAGGAGGAATGAGGAACGGTGGTGAGCTGAGAATTTGGGGGGTGAAAGAAGTTGGTGCGGCAAGAGCTGAAAGGCAAGCTAAGTTACATAGACTTAATTAACTACGTGTTTGGGCTCGGGTTTGACCATAAGCACCTTGAGGTCGATCGGGTAAGTTGACGTGTTGAGGCAAGAGGCAGGGATCCAGGGATCCAGGGATACAGACAGTGAACAAGAAGATTGGCACTATCCCATTACCCGCTGAGCTTCGTTGAACGGGTGTCAGTTCCGCCGCAAGGGATAAGGGGTCAAAGGGGAAAACAGAGTTTGGCGTATCGAAGCCTTCGAAGGTAGTCACCCTGGCAGGGTACGGGAATTGCTCGGAAATACGAGAGTTGAAAACGTCCTTGGGAAACAGGGATTAGAATAGAGAGCCTTTTCAGTTGTTAATAAACGGCAATGCTTTAATACTCTCGATATCTGCTAGAAGAAAAGCTTTGCTTGAGTGATTTCCCATCAAACCACGTCAGTTTGTCATATCAATCACAGAAACAATGGGCTATAGCTTTCTCCCCGAGCGGGATATTTGGCAGCACGCGCCTATTCTAACGGGCAGCACCAAGTTTGAACCGCAGCAGGATGTCAAGAACATCATGATCACAGGAGGCGAGGGCTTCATGTAAGAACTACCTAAAAAAAAGTGCCATAGTCTGACCATAAACAGTGCATCATGGCTCGTTCGACACCTCGTCCTTACCTACCCCGGTGCATACAACGTCATATCATTTGACAAGCTTGACTACTGCTCCTCCCTCAACAACACACGCGCTCTTCGCGAAAAACCCAACTTCACCTTTTATCAAGGCGATATCACAAGCCCTAGCGAGGTTCTAGACTGTCTGAACCGGTATAACATTGACACTGTCTTCCACTTTGCAGCGCAATCGCACGTCGATCTCAGTTTCGGAAATTCATACAGTTTCACTGAGACAAACGTGTACGGCACACATGTCCTACTTGAGAGTGCGAAAACCGTAGGAATCAAGCGGTTTATCCACATTTCTACCGATGAGGTTTATGGAGAGGTTGCGCATGGGAATGATGATCTTCCTGAGGCGAGTATTCTATCGCCGACGAATCCGTATGCTGCGAGTAAGGCTGCAGCGGAGATGTTGGTTAATTCGTATCAGAAGAGCTTCAAACTGCCTGTTATTATTGTGAGGAGTAATAATGTTTATGGACCGCATCAATACCCTGAGAGTAAGTTCTCGCCTTTTGTTTCGTTGCGTCGACTCTAATCTTGGTGGTAGAAATTATCCCCAAGTTTATCTCACTACTTCACCGCGGTCAACCCGTGGTCCTTCATGGAGACGGTAGTCCCACTCGCCGGTATCTATTCGCAGGAGATGCCGCCGATGCCTTTGATACTATTCTTCACAAAGGCGAGATCGGTCAAATCTACAACATCGGCTCAAGTGACGAAATCTCCAACGTCGAGCTCTGCTATATTATTCTTACCGAGATGGGTATCGATGTCCAAGACACGAAGGACATCCAGTGCTGGGTGAAGCATACTCACGACCGTCCTTTCAATGATATGAGATACGCTGTTGATGCTACCAAACTGAAGATGCTAGGTTGGACACAAAAGACAAGTTTTGATGAAGGGCTCAAGACGACGATTGATTGGTATAAACGCTATGGTGATAAGTGGTGGGGTGATATTTCTCCGGTGCTGACGCCTTTCCCTCAGGCTTTGAGCAAGCAACAGGAGGAGCAGGCAGTGACGCCGACAAGTCTCCCCGAGGTTTAGGACTTGCTAACTTATTTCTTCAATACATAATACACCATTTCCGTTGACACTTTAGTCGCAATCCCCCATTTCTCTGAGCGCGGCATAAGCGATAGCAGCACTGACCCCTTCCTTTGAAACCCTACCTACAACTAGTTAGCACTAATATACTCATGTTCAGGGAGCATAGTACATACCAAGGCAAGGATACTTCTTTGACACCCAGGCATTTTCGTCAGCAGGGTCGGAAACGGAGGGGGGAGGTGGTATGTAGAATGAAGCCTCGCGGCTTAGGTCAGAGGCGGCACCATGTGATGCTGCATCGGAGCAAATGGACTTGGCCTTCTTGGAGGCCTTGCGGCTCAATTGCTGGTTCAATATGGCAAGATTGCCAGAGGTAAGCTTGAGCTCGGGAATGGCCTCGCTCTTTGGCTCGATAGGGAGACGTTCAACCAAGTTGGCAGTGTCAGCAGCTGTTGTGGACTGAGGCTGAGACTGTGGCTTGGGCTCGTCCTGATCAGGGTCCTGGTTCTTCTCGTCTCCATGCACGCCGTGTCGCGCGAGGCAGTTGGCGACCTGCTTCTTGGTGCGCTCATCCATGCTGAAGAGAATATGGTAGTAATAAGTAGTGTGGAGAAAGGCGCTAGTTAAAGATTGTTTTGGCGATATGGGACCAAGGTTGGGGTAAGCGGCAGGAATGTTGTTTGGGGAATGATGAGGTGGAGAAATGGTGGGGTAAGGTTCAGAAATAAAGATGAAAAAGAGGCGTGTGGCAAAATGTCTTCCTATACTCTACAAAAGTCTAAATATCCAGCAATAAACGTGAAACTTGAAAAAAAGGTTAAAGGGCAAATACAGAGTTAGTCGCTATGAAGTTTAGTTTCACGAGTCTTGCGAATAAGACAGCATAGTAAGGTGCCCAATATATCATGCCTCATCTTCTTCATCGTTGCTGCCCCCCTCTTCAGAGAGCTAATGCGTCAAGTAAATCAACTAATACATGGAATATATCACCATCAAGCAGGCCTTATAGCAACAGCACAGGCGCGCCCATTATCTCAAAGCATGCAGCCATATTCCAGTCTGCACCAAGCTCCCCTCTCCTACTCCACACACACTCCAAAATCCGTACCGCCTCTCCCACCCGCCCGAAACACTGCAGTGACCCAGACGCCGCCGCCAGGTCCCTAAATCCTTTCTCCTGGCTCACATTCGCGACGCACCCGGCCACGCAAAACGGCCACACTGCGCTGCGTAAGATCGCAGGGTCCTCAAGCTCTTGGAGCAGGCGAAGAACCTCGCTTGCACTCTCGCGGACACTAGAGGTGTCAGGCTTCCACCCGATTGTCACTATGGCGAGGTATATTTGCGCGGCGCGGGCCCAGATGCGAGTCGCTGCGGCTTGCTTAAAGAGATAGCCGGGATCGCTGGATCGATAAATCACAAGCGCTGTATTTCCTGAACGAGCGTAGCGCCAGTCAAACTAGATAAGGAAATATAATAAAGTTTAAGATGTTTATCCTAGAAAATAAGAAAGTGTTAAATAAACTTAGGCAAATTTAGGTACATTTAGTATAGAGTTAGAGGATCTTAGACTAAGTATTCTTAGCACCTAACTTAATGTCAGAAGTCTTCCTACACCCTGGGACTAGAGTAGGTTAAGACCCTTGCTAAGCTAATCGTCCTAGAACTTGACAACCGAAGGTCCCGGAATAATGTACTTCGCATCACTCCACTCATCCACAAACACATTATGCAGCAGCCCTGGATCCTTAGAAGAGTAGAGATCCGTCGCAAACACGCCTTCAGGCTGTGCAGTACCGTCTCCCTTGACAATCAGGTTGATGCATTGAGGATACATCTGAGTTGACCCTTCTGCACCTCCCGCATGAAGGGCGATGATCTCATGTCTCAGGACATAGCTTCCAGGAGCCAGCTTAGCCGGGATCGTTATGTTCCATGAAAAGTCCTCATCACGGAGTTTATTATTCGCCCAGTAGCCCGGCTGGCCAGGGACAGTTCCCCTCGTCAGCTGCCCCAACTCATCGATCTTGAAGAACTTCAACTTGGTCTTGTCAACCTTTGTACAATCGTCGTTCGGACAGCGCGCCATGTAATCCAGAACAGGCCCCCAGTGGGCTTGTGGCCAGTCCGACTAGTGCACCGTGATGGTCGTGCCGGCAGCAACGTCTGCGGTCAGAAGCCCATTGGTGGCGTTGAGGTGGCAGATGATGTCTGGGGACGCCAGTGCGCTCGCGGTGGAGGTGACGAAGCCGTTGTCTTTGGCGCCGTTTGTCCAGGTGATGCTGTCTGGTTGAGTTACGTAGGGGACCTTGGTGGGGTCATGGCCGTAGTAGCTTTCGTCGTTGATGAGAACCTCAGATACGTGGCCGTGAGCCGAAACCTTGAACGCGGAAAGAGCACTGAGGGTGGCGAAATGAAATGTCCTTGACAACATTTTGTAATGATCTTCTGGGTAGTAAATTAATTTATAAGAGGGGAACCAGCATGGTCAACTTGGTTGTTCATCTTGAAATTAGTACGTGACTATCTTATATAGCTCTCTGGTTGCTATTAACCATAATGGACAAGATGGCCAGGAAATCATGGTTTCATTCGGTAGACCATGTTCCGTATATCTCCTTTTGAAGCAAAATGATGCTTTTTGGTAGATTCTCCGCCCGAGGAGCCATTTTGAGAAAAAGGGTAGTATTACGCGAAGTCTTCATGACGGGTCTAGCACTATTCTGATTGGATGCTTAGATGGCATTTTCTCGATACTACAACATGCCAACTGTTTCCGAAGTCTCTTATCTAGGCAAGCTTTTACAGTTCAACAAAATCTACAGCATCGAGACCTTTTATCATTCGGGTGCAACTTTTGCAATACCGTATTCTTCCATCTCACTTCTAATCCGTTTGGTTATGAACCGTGATGGAGTTGCCGCCAACGATGTCAAGGAGCTCCATGGTAAGGCGAGAGCAGTTACGACATAGGCTTTTGATGCAGACGGCCTTTCCACTTTAGGTGTTACTATGTACCGCGGTGGTTTCTAGCTGCCAGCGAAATGATCGGTATGATACCTCTCTGGCGCCTACGGCAGCCAAGTTGGTAAGCTATGGTTTCGACCAGAAAAATTTCACGAATAACGAAAGCAAATCTATAAACGACTGATACTCTACAACTCCGGCGTAGATGATGAAAGCAACTGTACAAACTCCCACGTTCGTAACGCCCTGAGAGCTAATTAGATTCATCAACTGCTTCACAGCCGTCTGGCTCTCCTGAAAGACTGGCCTCCTGTAACCTATCGTAACAGTACTGCAGCTCCTCTTTTGACAGTTGTCGATTTGGATCGTCTTCCAATAGTACGACCCGCTGACTTGCTACCACTTGTTCAAGTAGTTTGACCGCCTCCTCTATCTTCCCAATCTTTCGGTATGCTACTGCGAGTAGATGTTTTGATGCCAGCTGATCTGGGTGATTCTTTGCTAATGTATCCGTTTTAACTGCAAGTGTAAGCTCAAGCAGTTTAATTGCCTCATTTATTCTTCCGTCAGCTTCATATGACAATGCAAGCGCATGCTGTGATGACAGCCGATCTGGGTCATTCTCTGGGCATACCTTTCCTCTAATCTCAACCACATGCTCAAGCAGTTCAATCGCCTGTTTCATCTGCCCGTTGCATCCATATGCCAATCCAAGCTCATGCTGTGATTCCAGCCGATCTGGGTCATTCTCTTTGAAGTCTGCTGTCACTTCAACCACATGCTCAAGCAGTTCCGTAGCCTGTTTTGACTGCTGATTCTCTCGGTATGCCCCTGCAAGCCATAGACATACCGCCAGTCGAACACGGTCATTTTCTTCTAACGTTGTCCTCTGGACCTCAGCAACAGCCTCAAGGATGTGTATTGCCTGTCTTTTCTGTCCGTCACAGCTCAAGCATTGTCCAGCCTTTACTCCAAGTAGGCATCGATCTCTAGCATTGATACCATCAGTGCTTGCTAGGAGTCTGAGTGCATGTGGCATATACTGCCGCCATAACTCACGGTTTTCCCAGCCGCAGTTTGGGAAAACCGCAGCAACACGAGCGAATGCCACCTGTCGTGTCAGTGCGTCAAGTTCCTCTTGTTCATTCCATCTTTGTATTACAAGGTGCACGATACTATGCATGTCGAACGTATCGCCATCTTCTCGTTTATTCAAGAAGCTATATCCGCAGAGCGTACCAATAGCACTAGCCATCCTTTGTTCAGAGCCCAGAGGCGGTAATAAGGTACGAGGTATGGCTTTCGGTTCAAGATAGGCCGTGCTAGAGAGTATTATCGCAGCGTCTTCATTGAGAGCGCGGATTTGCTTGAAAGACAGAATCCAGGTGGTTGCAATGGCTCCTTGAGAAGAGTGGTAGTAAGTCCTATCACGAAACCCACAACTCAGCAGTTCTACCATATCCTGGTCGGTGTTTTGGAGCAGGCGGAGATATTCCTTGACTGAGATCTCATTGATCTTCATGTATGCTGAGGCTTGTGCAATGGCAAGCGGTAGATAGGCGAGCTTCTGTAGGAGCTTGTCGATCAGATCTGTATCCCGCATTTGGTCCTTTTCAACCAATGAACCCTGCAAGAGGGCCTTCGCATCCCCATCATCCATTTCTGACAGATTGACGACATTATTGTGTGCCACGCTAACGGCAACTTCACGCGATCGGGTTGTATACAGAATATAACCATGCTCGGAGTCTGGTATGAACTCGTCAATGCCTCCCGGGGCCTCAGCTGTTCCATATAGAGTCTCAATAGTATCTGCGTTATCGATGATGAGAAACCACTTTCCAGTTTTTTCTGAACTCAGATACTTCCTGAATGTTTCTTTGGCATTCTCCTCATTGGTCTGCTTGATACCAAACTCACTAATCATCTTACTACACGCCTGTTCGAAACTTGCCATGCTCAACGCGGGCATCCATATGACGGAGTAGCTACGGGCTGTGTGTGCTTCTTTCTTCATAAGATGTGCAAGCTGAAGAGCAATTTGCGTCTTTCCAACGCCGCCCAAACCGACTAAGGCGACCCGTCGGCCATTCGGATCAGCAAACAGAAGTTTCTGAAGCTCAGCGATTTTCCCCTCGCGGCCTGTGAAGTTCTTGTTCCTCGGCAGCGGTAAGTAGTGAGACCTAGATCCTTTGACAAGTGAGTCGGAAGGGTATACTAATTAATAGGCTCATTATACTAACTCGCTACTGCGTTGCGTTGTGTTCGTAATGGGATTGTCGTCTGACCTAAAGCCCAGCCTTAGCACTGTTGCTCTACTCACATCTTTACCTGCCAGTTTCACCATCAGAGGCTTGATGCGACGTACCAGGGGTAAGCGACGGAACCCAGAAGCCCAGGAAAGCCTTCGCACAAGCTGCAGCCGTGGCTGCCGCATATCGTTGCCACACCTTGCTCTTGTGACTATCAGCATAGTCACAGCCGCTTTTAATAATAATACATGGGAAGCTATCCCAGACACCAGCTCCCTCTATCTCAAAGGCAATAACTTCTTCTTTTAAGGCAATACGGTCACGATCTTCGCCAGACTTCATCACTGCATCCCCAGAGGCCATCAACCCAAAGTGGACAACTGGCCTCAGAGGGACATCTGTAGTCGATAGGCGGTTTCTCTTCACCAGGTTGCCTTTACATCCAGCCTGCTCACATGACCTCTGATCATCCGCGTGGCGATAGGTAGCCTTGAATAGCTTATCTTCTGTAGACCCAGGATACTCAGCATGAAGTTCTGGATCCTGACGGAGAACATCCAGGAAGCTCTCAATCTTGGCGCTCAGCTGGCGGCGGTGTCGGATTCCCTTGAGCTTTGCTAAGGCTCCCCGAATCTCCAGGTTGGGTCTGCCAGGGACGTCTAGTAACGTATCTTTACGGACCAGGCGCTCGGGAAACTGTCGGCCAAAGTCATACTGGATAACACCATTGCTGATGATGACATCGCCCAAAATTATCTCGTCTTTGGTAGGGCTGAAAGGAACGACACCACAGATGCCGACAACGAGAGCAAGCTTGATATTTGGAAAGCTTTTCCCGCAGTTGGCAGCGACGGTGGCGGCATTGACTTTGCCCATTCCAGGCATGTATGCGAGGACAACATTGAAACGGCCGATGACGCCAGTTGAGTAGGCATTAGGGTCGCCTGGGTCCTTATCAAAAGGTAGGCCGTCGTCTTCCCAGTGATGATCGAACAAGGCTTCGATAGCATCTGCTTCAAGGGTCAAGGCGCAAATGATAGCTATCTCGAAGCCACGGCGGTCACTGGGGCGAGGCGGCAAGGAGTTCGAAGAGCTCCCACGGGCATTGGAGGTGTTACTAGCATCGTCCGAAGAGTTCATTTTGGAACGCCGTCGATTAGGCTAGACGACCTAGTGCGCCATTGACGATATGTTGCGCTCCAGACTCCGGCGATCGTCTCTGGGTCAGTCACGGAGATCTCTGGTGCCTCAGAGGAGGCAACAGAGCCAGTGGAACAACAGGGAAACAGCGTTGGTGGCTATTCGGTACTTTGCTAATGCGTCGAAGTCTGTCTGTTGGGTTTGAAGGAAGAAATCTGACGGAAAACAATGGAGCGGGGTAATTTTCAGCTCTGTCTGTTGGTTGTGCACTTTCGCAGGCAACAGTCTCATGATCCTTGCAACATAATCAATATTCGTGCCTTCCAGCCAATTATCGCAAAGGTGGCGCCCTACCAGTCAAAATTTGGCAATAATCGTCAGCAAGGCTTTGTACAGGCTTGAAACTCAGGATCTCTAATCCAGGTGATAAAAAGACCTAGGTAACTTAGGATAAATTTAGGATATCTTCACTAAGTTTAAGGTTATCTTTTGTTGAGTTTATTTTTAACGTCCTATATTCAGGTCCGAGTTTTCTTGCCCCTTGCTTCTTTACGTTCGGTCATGTACCTGGCTAGTATTTACTATGCTTAGCGATCGAGAACGAGTAGTCTACGATACACGCTTTTGTCCAAGTTCCTGTTTCTAGCATGCTAGGCCCGGCGCGGTCCGTTGACCAATGTCACGGCTGAAGCGACTACGCTCACTCTCTTTCGGTCAGTAGTATCCCCCACCAGCTATCAATTCAATGCTTGCTAATTAGGGTATATAGACCACTCGCCGATCTTGAAACAACTGCCTATCACGGCATGGCTAAGTGGTTCCTTTAGGGTTCCAGTGCAGCCGACAAATCCCTCCGACTACAACCAGACCTCGACAATCGCGACCATTACCACGAGATCGCGTGGGAAAGAATGGCACCCAGGAGACCAACAAATAATGCAAATACATTCTTTACTTATTCATCAAGAGAGCCGGTGGCCCCCATGGTTATGAGCAATGGGAGGTTAATGAATGTGACATGGTTCACAACTTGACCGGGAGGCTCTAAATGCTACATTTGGCTATCCTATGTCCAGCTTGGTGGGGCGCATGGTGGAGTCTGAAGAGGAGAACTAGATAGAACAGAGCAGTGGAGACGTCCGACAAAGCCGCTCTACTACCAGATGAGATTGTCGTAACCAATATAGCCATCAAACTATACGAATTCGGTGCAAGCGCTGGTTTTTGACACATTTATACGTCACTTACTCCTTGCAAAAATATGTTCTACCATGGCATGAATTTCCCACCATGCATGTATGTTCGTCTATTCCTTCTGGGCAATATTATACATAAATCTTAAAGATCAAAACGCCAACGCTTGCTGTTTTCCTTAACGAACCATCTCGTCATAAATGCTCCTTCTTCCGCCCACTCCGCAACATCTCTTCCAAACCTCTGTTCTACCTCTTGTAAGAACGATTTGAAGTCTAGTGCTTGTACAGGGTTATGTTCGTAAGGGTCCTTCGTCAGGTCCGCCAGTTTCCACGCCACGTGTTCTATTATCGGCACAACAAGATGGCGCTCTGGATACCGGCCGTCTCTGATGCTAAGCATAGCACGGCCAGGATTAGTAATGGTGAACTGCCATTGCCCATTGCCAGTAGCTAATGGACGAAGAAGCGACTGTCCTTCGTAATTCCGTATTAGGTCCTGGGCTGCTTGGCGGCTTGTCTTGCTCAGTGAGCCTGTTTCGAGGAGGATGTCTAGGATTGTGGGTAGGATTTGGGTCGCATGCACACCCTCATCCACATCGAATGCTGGTAGCTGGGGATGTGAGAAGACTAACGGCACATGCTCAACACCAACATTGGGGTTATAGTACGGCGAGGCGATATCATTCTCTGGAAGAGATACACCATGGTCGCCTTGAAAGATGACCAAAGTCTCATTGGCAACTCCTTGCTTATCCAAGATATCAAGGACCTTGCGAATCCATCTGTCTTCATACCCAATTGTGTTGATGTATCTTGACATCATATCAAGATGACCACCGTTGGCCAGAGGTGTATACTTTTCTCTCTTGGGCATGTGAAACCGATGGTGGCTAGTGGATGTAATATGGCTCAGAAATACGCGGTTATTTTCCGTGACGGCGTTTTTGAAGACATCGTTAATATAGTCTTCCAATGGATCTTCTTCAAAGGCGAAGTCGTTAATGTTTTCCAACGTGACGGCTCCGTGCCTCGCGTTCGCGCTGCGAAGATATTCCTGGCCAATTATGCCCTCATCCGGGAACCCCATCGCGGACATCAAAGCACCATGGCTGTCATAGTTGAGTTTCGCGGCTTGGAAAAAATAGGACTTCCACTTGTCCTTCTGACTAGCTTCTTTTGTGCGGGCCTGTTTCTCCTCCGCTTTGTTGAGTGCGTTGAAAATATGCGGCAAGCAAGGCTGGTAGATATGATGGCTGTAGTCCAGATTGAAATCTGCAGCTAGGGGAGATATGCCGCAGATTGAACCTGTTAGGCTTTTGAGGGTGTATGTTCCTGAGGTATGTGCGTTGGTGAAGCGAATCCCTCCTCGTCTCGGTTTACTAGCATGTTCGAAACCATCCGCGTAATCGCCTGTAATGAAATTTGCTGTTGGTGTTAATTTTGCAAGCTTTTCCTGAACCTCTTGTGGCAGTCCATGCGGGAATGTATCGGCAAATCGATTCCATACTAGACCATCCTTCTTGATAGGAAAGACATCATGTCGGGTACTTTCCAGGAAGAATAGAACTACATGTCGAATGTTGAGGTTTTTTAACTTCCCTCGGAGAGAATCTCGTAAGGGCTCGTCGAGATTTGAGACTCTCATAGGGTCGGCCTTGGCGCTATAATGCGGTTGCTCGAGATACCAGTCTTTGAAACCGTCCAGGGCTGGTATGTCCATTGGGAGCCAACTCAAAGGGGTAGGTTGTACAAGTGCGGTTCGATCGTCCCAGCTTCGCTGTACTCCCTTTCCGAAAACCGATGGAAGATTGTCGAGAAAAGGCGACGAGGCAAAGTCGATGAAAGGTAGAAGTCCAGTAGTCCAAGAAAGAAAGATCAGGGAAGGATCTTTGGGTCGAATAAAAGTAAGGATAAATAGTGCCGTTAATAGAAGAGTAACAATGGGGTAAGGCAGTATGCGTAGAAAACGACCGAGTCTGGATCTTCGTACTGGTGAACCTCCTCTAGAGCTTCGGGGTGAGCTCAACAGCGATACTGAGGGCGAGCTGAGCTTTCGCTTGAGTTCCTTGTCGTGATAAGGGGTGCTCTCGATGTCGAGCCATGAGAGGTCTTCTCGTTGCCATACCGCATCGTAGCTAAATCGATGACCCAATTGGCGACAGATCAAAGTAAGAGGCCAATTGACGAGGTCTCCACCCCAGCCGAATAGAGTGTAGCACGCTACCTGAAGTAATGCGGCTAAGCAAGCGAAGACACAAAAGACACCGATGAAAGCTGTCAGACCCGATAGGATAATTGCCTGAGCCGTTGGGTCGGCCATGAAACCGATATTGCGCCAATGAATTTCAGATCCCGAGACTAGATAAAACGAAACCGAGACAGTGCAAATGAGAGTGTTGTAGGTCATCAACGAGATCGCGAGTGTATTGACGATCCTCCGTGGCTTGGCAGCACTAGGCACCCAATGGCTCAGGAGAAGTCTGATTAAAAGAAGCAGGAGGACATCTTGAGTAAAGAAGGAGAAAAAGAAGAGAAGCATACGCTTGGGCGTCACCGAAGCTCTGTGATTATGAAGATGCACTCCTTTGGCAGCACATACTGCTAATAGAGTCAGAGTGAACGCAAGGCGTTGGTTAGCTAATTTTGAGGCATATAGCAAGCATATCCTCCTGAAGGGGGCCATCTTGAACGATGTGCTGACTAAAAAGCGAGAAAAGGAAGAGAAACTAGAAACAGGGAGCCAAGACCCTTTTTCTTAAATAAGGGCCGCATCCTCCCCTATCACCCCATAGTGCCTAGCCTCATTACCTGACCGAACATGGTTTGGGCAGTGCATCATTACTGTTTGAGCACGCGAGCAGGAACAAGTACGGAGTAATCTGGTCTGGACCGTTAATAGCGCTTACTTAAACCGCGCCGCATTATGGGCTCGACGAAGCATTTTGGTTTGTCGCGTCGTATTTCGCTCGTATTGGATTTTCAGGGCTGGACTCTACTGGGCTAGAGTCAATGCCAGCGGGAGGGTTTTAGGGGTCTGGGTCTGTCCGGCTAAGTGGCAGGTTTCCCCTGACCTGATGGGCAGACGGCAAAGTTGTGCCGTGCCGTGCTTTGCCGAAATATTACGAGAGATATTTCTTTTATTATAAATAGACTATAACTATCGTAATTTAGCTATTTTAATATTATCTTATAACTTATTTTCAATATATAATTGTTTTACTTATTTAATTATAAATTTTGTAGATACTAGAGATTTTAGTGAGGTTAGTAGGAACCTGTTGGTTCGTCTGACTCCCGGCAGTTTGGTCATGAGAGATTGAGTTTATTATCCTTGCCGATAGCCGGGTTAGTTTGGTTAGGCTGACGTCGAGGGCGAGAAGGATGTCTCATTTCTCTTATGTAATGAGGATGTTTCATCCACAGGCTGCACATGTCTCTCTGGAAAGGAAAGGGGCTTCGGGACAGACAAAAACGCCTGGAGGATTCTGCTTTACTGTTAGAACTGTGTAATTTGTAGGGCTGTGATGAGTCAAGCGAAAACGTTGCAACTTCTGGTGGACGACGGGGGGATGTTCCAGACAGATTCTAGACCCTTGGCTGCACAGACATTTTGTGGCTTCGACGGATTGTGGCAGTGCACCAACGGGATTTCGGGGCTGATTTGGCTAACCAGGATCATCGTTCAGCTTCTGCCTGAAATTTACTTCTACATCCGTGAATACCCATTTTATCCTCGGCCAGACGCTGTCCGCGGGGTTATAATATATATCTGACACGGGAATCCGCGCTACCCATCTTGAATTACATGAGACGTTTTCTAAGACCAAGGTTTATCAACGATTAATTGAACAATGCGATGATGTCATGCAGACTTCGTTCCTCTCATGGGGATCACAAAGTATTATTTGCGTCTAAATTCTTTGTCATACCAATTTATGGTGTCTTCTTCGTTACGAATAAGAGGTTATTAGATATCCATCGCTTGTTGTCTCGCAGTTTTACTTAGAGAGGCGGGCTGTGGCGATTGATCCCATCGCGGTTTTACGCAGGAACGGTTGTGATTGGTCAGAGTCCCAAGGATCCAGCTGTGTAGGGTAAGTCGCCCAGACGATGCAGGTAATCGAAAAGATCACTTATTTGTTTGCTCGCCAGTAAAAGGTTCGTTCTGCTGTATTACTTACATTACCTATATTAGTTTCCATGTCTTGAGCTCTATTGCAGTACATAGAAGTATCGTGTCGTGAAGCGTCCCGATCAACATTAACAGAGCTGTGGTTTTGGATTGCCGTGTGAGCCATTTGCGTCACCAACGTCAAGAAGCAATTGCGTAAAGGGTCTAGCTGGACGAAGAAGTGAGGGAGGAGTCTTATTAATACACTGCCACACCACATAGTCTACATCTTTTGCCATGCAGCAAAAAATGAATTCTGGATGGATTAACATCTAGTTGTCCAGCATTGAGGCACCAGAATGCTCCCCCGCAACATCGTCACTCCCTGCAATTCAATGACTGCCGCTTACTCCGGATCACCAATCAACCACTGAATAATGACATAATTTAGCTTAACCAGGAAATGATGAGCGCCAAGCTCGGGCCGACTTGGCAGCCTTGAACAAATACAGTTAGCGATTTCACGATTTCAGAGCTAATTTGCGGGGTTACCAAGATTTTAACATCGTCTGATTCCCGGTCTTCAAATTCTTGCTTATTGTCATCGACATGTCAAATACAAGATCAAATTCTTATTCAAGGTCTTTAAGACTTCTTTTCCAGATTTCTTACATATCGTAGCTTGCCTAAGGTATACAAAAACAGTCCGGTAAATTCTACTGGCTGCCTAGGGTACATCACCAAATGGTGTAATTGACACCATGCTTTCCTCAGTACGTGAATACAAACCGTAAAATTCATCAAACTCGACATTCTTACAATAACCCCTCCTTATCTTTGTGAGCCACTCTAATGCTGATTTTTCTGATGTAGTATCTTAATTATGCCATTTTGGCGCTTCTCTCTTCAGCAACGCTGGCAACCAGTACTCACGACCATGATCGCGTTAAAAAATGCTATCAACGTCATAGCACGTCAAATCACTCCGCCAAAGCCAGTAACAACATTTACAAGACCTCATTTCCCGGTGTAACATGGGACAACGACAATTGGCTCCTCAGCACAACCAATTTCGACCAAGGCCACTATCAATCTCGCGGGTCGGTAGCGAACGGCTATCTCGGCATCAACGTCGCCGCAGCCGGCCCGTTCTTTGAGATCGACCTTGACGAAGAAGGTGGCGTCATCAACGGCTGGCCGCTCTTCTCGCGGCGTCAAACCTTTGCTACCATCGCAGGTTTTTACGACGCACAGCCTAGGACGAACGGAACAAACTTTCCATGGCTTTTGCAGTATGGGTATGAGAGTGTGATTAGTGGCATTCCTCATTGGAGCGCACTTATTCTTGATCTAGGAGATGATGTCTATCTCGATACGACTGTGGATAACCGAACTGTTCATAACTTTACGTCCACTTATGACTTCAAGGCTGGCGTTTTGGAGTGGTCGTATACGTGGAAGCCCAAGGGTCAGAAGGGCTCTTATGAGATCAACTACCGGCTGTTTGCACACAAACTACATATCAACCAGGCAATCGTGGATTTAACGATCGTCCCATCCCTTGATTCCGAAGCGACGGTTGTCAATGTGATTGATGGATACTCGGCAGTGCGTTCAGACTTTGTCAAAGCGGGCGAAGATGACGACGGCGCTATATTCTCAGCTGTGCGACCAGTGGGAATCGCCAATGTGACCGCCTACATTTACGCACAAGTCAATGGATCAAAGAGCCTCGACCTGTCTCAACGAAAATTGGTCCATGGAAAGCCATATGTGCACACCAACGAATCATCTATTGCACAAGCCATTCCTGTCAAGTTCTCAGCCGGTGTCCCTGTTCATATCACCAAATACGTAGGAGCTGCTTCCTCCGACGCCTTCGATGATCCTGAAAAGATTGCGAAGGAGGCTTCGCGTAAAGCGATGGAGGAGGGATACGAGAAATCTCTTCTTTCACACGTCAAGGAATGGGAGAGTGTCATGCCGAGTGACTCTGTGGATAGCTACGCTTTTCCTGAGAACAACACGCTCCCTAATGATGAGTACATCATCGACTCTTCTATCATCGCCGTCACAAACACATACTACCTCCTCCAAAATACAGTCGGCAAAAATGCACAAAAGGCAGTATCAGGCGCCCCCGTCAACGTCGACAGTATCTCGGTCGGCGGGCTTACATCCGATTCCTACGCCGGCCTAATCTTCTGGGATGCAGAACTCTTTATGCAACCCGGTCTCACAACATCGCACCCAGAAGCTGCTCAGCGTATAACGAACTACCGCGTTGCCACATACGAACAGGCCAAGAAGAACATCGCGACTTCTTATGCTGGTTCTCAAAACAAGACTAAGTTTTCGGAGTCAGCGGCTGTGTATCCGTGGACTAGTGGTCGGTTTGGGAATTGCACTGCGACTGGTCCTTGCTGGGACTATGAGTATCATTTAAATGGCGATATTGGGATATCTTTGGTGAATCAGTGGGTTACGAGCGGTGATACCGACTTCTTCAAGGAGACGCTGCTGCCGATTTATGACTCCGTTGCGAACCTCTTTGCGGATTTACTCAAACCCAATGGATCGTCGTGGACTATCACGAACATGACTGATCCCGTACGTCCGATTGACCATTTGCTCTTGCTTCAAATACTGACTTGCCATAGGACGAGTATGCGAACCATGTCGATGCCGGCGGCTTCACCATGGCACTCGCTTCCGAGACCTTGATCCAGGCCAACAAGATCCGCCGACAGTTTGGAATGACAGAGAACAAGACGCAGGACGAAATAGCCTCTGATGTGCTCTTCATCAGAGAAAACGGCATAACTTTGGAGTTTACGACCATGAATGGCAGTGCTGTCGTCAAGCAAGCTGACGTGGTACTCATGAGCTTTCCTCTGGGTTACAACGATAATTACACTGACCAGAATGGACTTGACGATCTGGACTACGTAAGTTCTCTGACAGTACTACCATAACGTAACGCTAACTCAAATTCCAGTACGCGAACAAGCAGTCCCCCGACGGGCCGGCCATGACCTGGGCAATCTACTCCATCGTAGCCGACGAGCTCTCCCCATCTGGCTGCTCTGCATACACCTACGCACAGTATTCGTACAAGCCTTATACACGACCTCCATTCTATCAGCTTTCCGAACAGTTGGTGGACAATGCTACTACGAATGGTGGCACGCATCCAGCATATCCCTTCCTCACTGGGCATGGAGGCGCTAACCAAGTGAACATTTTTGGGTACCTTGGACTGCGACTCATGCCTGATCAGGGTCTTCACGTGAACCCGAACCTGCCACCACAGATTCCGTATCTTAAGTATCGAAAGTTCTACTGGCGTGGTTGGCCTATTTCTGCTTGGTCGAACTACACCCATACTACTATCTCTCGACGTGCGACGACTAAACCTCTTGATGTTGCGGATTCTCGGTATGCAAATAAGAGCATTGTAGTCTATGCTGGAAAGCAAGGAGACTCTGCACTTCATCATTTGTCATTTGACGAGCCTGTTGTTATCAAGAACAGACAAATAGGCAGTGTCAACACTGTCGATGGCAATCTTGCTCAATGTCGCCCCATACAATCTTCCAACTCATACGAACCGGGACAGTTTCCTCTCGCGGCTGTTGACGGAGCGACTTCGACAAAGTGGCAGCCCTCAAAGGCCGCTGATGTCAGCTCACTGACTGTTTCTCTTGCGACGAAGGATATTGGATCTAAGGTCAAGGGCTTCTACTTCGATTGGGCGGATGCACCACCTGTCAACGTCACAGTTCTATTCCACAACAAAACAATCGATGATCCAGCAAAGGCCTATGGGACATCGAGCCACAACTCAGGATATGATGTTGTTGTGTCCATAAAGAAGGTCAAGCTCTCGGATGCATATAACGCGAAGACGGATAATCTAGACGCCGTCGTCATGCCTAAGGGGAACACTACTAATGTCACTCTCCCGGAGCCTATTCCTTTGTCTCGATACGCCACATTGCTGATCGCAGGGAACCAGGCTTTGGATGCGGTGGATGCCAAAGCTGGTAATGGTACAGGCGCTACAGTCGCTGAGTGGGCAATCTTGCACTAAAGGTGATTGTGTACAGAATACGTGTCAATGGCGGCCGTAGGGCAACAGTGGCAAAGTTTTCGTGCTAGAAGAACATCTAAGTAATTAGTGCAGCGGTCACGTTTTCAATGCTTTTTGGCTTCACTTAGCTTCGGTACTAACAATATATGCTGTCAATAATGAACATAGCTCGTATGCTTCATACAAGTCAAAAGTCAACTCCAAGGCGCTATAACTAGTCAAAACTCGCCTTTTTAGAAGAGGACATCGGGTTCTTAAACGCTTCGATCGGGCGTTGCAGTCACAATCACCTCGCCTCACCAGATCGATGAATGCACCAAAATAATATTGATAAATTGAGTAGAGAATCGAAATTATAAACACAAGCCTTTTCGTCAGCCTAATAGAAGACAAGAGCTGACTCGATTAAGCTATCCACAGGCTGTCCCTCAAGACTGCTTGCATGTATCATAAGGCGGGTTAGGCTTGTCGCACGCACACGCTCCATTCGGATGAGCTTTGTCGATTCTACCATTGCCACGACCTTGGTTATGACAATCCGTGTTACAAACCTGGTCATTGGCAGCGCCGTGACACTCAACGGCGTAGTAGTACTTCCAAGGGTTGGTACCACTCTTGAACCCTAGTGACTGGCAATACTCATTCATTGCCTGCTTGTTGGCCAACTATGAAGTGGTCAGATAAATGCTTGTATAGGCGAGGGTAGAACTTACGATGCAGTAGCAATGGTGAGTGTCGGTAACCTTGGGACTGAAGTACTCGTCGCAAGGGAACTGGTCGAACTTGCACGCTGCGTATGAGTCGCCGCAGGCGGGAGGGCCATTTGGATCTTGATTAGCGGGTGTTTGGCACTGGAGAGTATTAGACACAGTATCTATGAAAGCAGTACAGCCAGTTGGGCTTTTTCTTACCATGGGCCTAGGGCATGTGCTACCCCGGGCACTCAAGCGACTCGGGGGCCAATTGGGATGTTCAAGTTGGGACCTCTGGTCCGCAAAAACGAGGCCCGCAGTGGCAAATGTAGAGATGAGAGTGAGGAGCTTCATATTGATGATGTTGGACCTTGCGAAGTAAGCTTGAAAAACTTGTTGATAGTAAATATTGAGCGGAGGGTGCGTGGTATATATATACTCTCATCTTCCGAAAGGGGAGAAGGCTAATGCAATCTCTCACGTAGCGGTAAAGAAAGGTTGAGCCTATAAGAAATTAAAACTATATTATACGGAGGAATTATTATGCACTTATTGGATAAAGTTCTGAACTGCTAGGATTGGTAAAAACTTTATAACTGCCGATGGACGTGGACCGGTCCCTCGGTGCCGAAAAGATTAAATCTCCTGGTGTAACACAAGAAACACCGCTTTCCCATATCAGTGATACTCAAACTGATTGCCGGAATTGCGGCGGGGACCATAAATCATTAGGCATTTCCCCTGCTAGTATCCGTACACTCCGAGCTTTTAACGGGCGTGGATTGGACTGATTCAAGGCTCAATCCTCGAGGACCTAGATAGTACACTTTCGGCTTATGGGGAATAGATGGCCAATGCACGGGTAGCCGAGTTCCGAAATTGCAGTTTTGGTTTAAGTTGAGATTGCCCAAAACCCAAAGCAACTGGCCGTCCTTGACAGGTTCGGCTGAGCTTCGTCAATCAGCTGAAATGCTGTTATGACTTCCTTACATACTGCACTTACATGATCCGGCAGATACTGAAGACATCTCCTCTAAAAGTTCTTATTAAGAGAGCCCAAAACTTATTACAAAAGAACACGGTGTCTTTGTGGTTATCTGGGTGGAGGATACCTCAGGGCGATCTGCGCTCTGTTGACTTCTTGCTATAGTTTCTTCGTTTCACGCGGCAGGGGACGCACAAATCTCTCCCTGAAGACAACTTGGATACTATTTGGCATCATGAGACATCATGGCTTCTTCGCCTTCGCAAATGCATAGTCTTCCAGTCTCCCAAGTCCGATGTCTATCAGTGACAATGCACCAGAGTTTACGGATAGAAGGTCGATTTGGGATAAATTGTTGCTTTTATAATGCCGTCGTTTAGCATGCTAAAGGCAAGGAAGTAAATGCATCCTCGTTGCATATCTACACTTCACCAAAAGAAACCCCACACGCTCGCCCCGACGACTAAGAATATCACCCCCCACCTAAGCAAACCTCGATTAACGTGCTTCCTTGCAAAGCTGTCAATAGCTTGGCTATCATTGATCCTTGGGAAGGGGACATCCTTCGGAACCGGTAAATCCAACGCCTTGCACAAAGGCTCCCAGCCATCACGAACATCTATGAATACCAGGCGGTCCTCTGGCACATTTTCCTTCAGCCAGGTGATGTGCTGGTTTTACGAGCTACTTGTCACTGGCTCGGTTTCTCCAAACTTCAGAAACCACTGCTGGCGCAGTGCATTGATGTAATCGACAAAGTATCGTAATGAGGGCAAAGGAAACAAGACGAAACGCAGGAACCATTGGGTTGATTTGCTGCTAACTGCAGCCATGCTTCGTTCCCAGGCTTCGACATCGCGGACGGTGCAGATCACTTTGGCATCTGGATAGATTGCCATTAATTCTCGCACAAGCGTTGAGCCGGGTGAGTCAGTGATTGCAACAAAGCCATCAACGCGTTCTTTGATGAGATCAAGATTGGAGCGCCTTATGGAAATGCCTCCAGGTCGCCACTGGTTCAGCACCTGAATCCATGTTTTGATTTCAGTTTCAGGACCAAGAAAGGCTTGTGTCCCACCGTGATATACAGGACCGTCGAGAAGAATTTCCAGCGCTCGGCTGATAGATGCAGTTCCGGTGCGGGGAAGGCCAGCGCCGATGACTTGAAGCTTGGTGCCTGGTCGAGGCTGAGAGTAGTGTTGACCCATTATGGCGACGAAATGGACAAAAGCACAGTGTGTTACAACCAATAGAATAATTGACTCTGAAGATTGTCGTTCTACGTGAGACGCGGGCTTTATACAGCCACTTTGCGATCGCCAACAAATTCTTACCGCCTACCGTCTTTGGGTATTTTGCAGCGCTAAGGTACAATGCCATGTGTTTCCCCAAGAGCAAATGATGTAAGAATATTACGCCTTGGAGGGCGAGAGCGGTGGGAAATACCTTTTGCGGCCTAGCTCAATCGGCTCCAGGCATATTTTCGCGTGAGATTTTCGTGGCGATGATCCTCGATTCAGGTTGTGAGGACTGATTGGCCAAAATCTTCGCAGGACCAGGCGAGTCAGACGCTACGGATCATATTAGTACAGTAAGCATAATTAACAAATCGCCCGCCCAGCTCCGCCTCGTCTGCACAGCTCTGTCCCGGGTCTACTGCTTACCAGAACGTCATAATGGCTATGCTATTCTTGCAATGGGTTGAATTGGTATAAGTATAAGCTAGATAGCCCAGTTGTGCTATCATCTCTATAGTCTACATCCATTCTGGAACAACAGTCACGCGATTTACAGAGCCGTACCTATCCTTCTTATCCTTCACATTTTGTCTCTCGATCTTCCAAAGCCTTCCATAACCAAGTCTACGCAGTTTCCTGGCTGCATACCAGCATAATGGCCCCCAACGCCATCGGGTCGAATCTTTGCACATCAGCATCTTGCGTGCACATCGCTTCCGAGATTCTTGGAAGTTTGGCTTTGAACTACACCGAGATTGACCCTTGCGAAGACTTTGAACAATGTGAGAGCTATTAAATACATATCTCTTGTCAATTCTAACCACTGGTACAGATGTTTGCGGCAACTGGGCTGCTCGACACGAGATCCCTGCTGGCGGAGTCTCCACAGATGGACTCACGCTTGCTCAGGAAAATGTCGATAGTGCCTTAAGACAGATCCTTGAGAGCCCATACCCTTCCGGCGAAGACGCTGGATGGATTACCGTCAACTTGACTAAGGAGCAGTCCGAGGCAGACAAGGAGATCTTTTCTAAGATACAAGACAGTTATCAGGTCTGCACCAACTATACAGCGCTCGAAGAAGAGGGTCTCGAAACTCTGCACGAGGTTGTCAAGACAGTCGTTGACCTGTACCCTGCAACTGGTAACAAGACAGCTTCAAACACAACCCAGGATTCTGTTGCCATGGGCAAGACTTTGACCTTTTTCGAGAGGATCGGCGTTCAAACCTTTCAGCGGTTCATACAGAAGCAGAAGGATACCGACCCTGACGCGGTCCAACTCACCCTTTTTCCCCTGCAGCCTGATGAATTGGTCCTTCCCGCTACAGAGAAGGATCTCGAAGAGTACATCCAGATCGCTTCTCAGCTTATGGTCGCCCTTCACCCCTCTAATATCAGCACGGCAGCAGCTTCCAAGCTCGTCGCTTCAGTCATTGAGTTAGAAGGCAAACTAGTGGCTGCTTCTGCCTTGGCCGTACAGAACGGATCGGCATCTGACATTGTCTCAATCGACGAGGCCCAGAAACAATTTCCTGAGCTGAACTACGAGTATGTTATCGAACAGCTTGCTCCAAAGAACTGGAAAGGCGATATCCAATTTATCTCACCCGCCTATTTCAACAATGCATCCCAGATCATCTCGGGGACTCCGACTACAATTCTCCAAGCATATTTTGTATGGAAGGCCATTACCTCCATTTCTATCTACATCGAGGACGACTTAACCAACGCCTATGACGACTTGGTGAATAAGATAAGGGATAGAGACCCCGAGAGTCCAGCACCCCGATGGAAGCGCTGTATCAACTTGATGAACTATGGAGTTGCATGGACCCAAGGCTCCCAAATCACGTCGCAGTTCATCGGCCCGACAGGCTTGACGTGGATACTCTCACGCTTCTTCGTGGACCAGCACTTTAGTCCGGAAGCTAACGAGCTTACATCTAATCTTGTGCAACACATCAAGGACTCTTTTTCAGAGCGCATTGAATCGCGGGACTGGGCAACAGATGAGGTCAAGAAGGCATCTATCGAAAAGGTGGAAGCTATGAAGAAGATCATTGGTCTTCCGACGTTTCCTGATGCCGTAGACCCTATCGCCCTCAAGGAATACTACTCGGATGTCAAGATCCAGCCTTCTCTGGCCTTAAATGCGCTGAGCTTTGCCAAGTCCAAGGTTAATAACAATTGGATGACTCTTGGAAAACCATACAACAGGGGACAATTTGTCCTAAGCACCCTGACCGCCAATGCCTACCACGCCCGTACTCTGAACCAGATCGTTCTCTTCGCAGGATTCCAACAATTCCCTATCTACGATGTAGACTTTCCGTCCTATCTCCTCTACGGTGGAATGGGTAGCGTCGTCGGACACGAGATCACGCACGGCTTCGATAATACCGGCCGCAACTTTGATACGATTGGCAACGCAACGCAATGGTGGGATGAGGAGTCGATCAAGGCCTTTGAAGAGAAGACAAAGTGCTTTGTGGAACAGTACAACAACTTCACCATCCTAGCCCCCAATGGTACAGATGTCTATGTTAACGGAACGCTCACTCTTGACGAGAACATCGCAGATGCCGGCGGTGTGTCCTCTAGCTATGAGGCCTGGAAGAAGTGGGAAAGCGGAAAGGGCAAGGCCAAGAATCTTCCAGGTTTGCAAGACTTCACCCACGAGCAGCTCTTCTTTATCAAATGGGGTCAAACCTGGTGTTCCAATGTGCCGCCCAAGTTAGGTCTCCAGCTACTCGAGGATGATGTGCACAGCCCAGCCCCTGCGAGAGTCCTGCTGCCTCTCAAGAATACTGTTGGATTTAATAAGGCATTTAATTGTCCCAAGAAAGAACCCGTTTGTGAGCTCTGGTGAGGACCTGGTGGTGATGAATACACCAACATTTGGGAGGGGGATTTGGGTAGTAGAGATAGCTCTATGATACTTGTTTTAATCATTTCCACTGTTCTATTCGTACCACTTGTGATCTTATCAATGGTGACGTCAAATGCTCAATCATCTTGACTTTAGTAAAGATGGCTATTCGCTCTAGTTGAGATCTGTGTCCCTATGCTCCATTGTCTTTTTGCTTCATGTTTCTGGCAGTGTTTGATGGAAGTGTTATCGAGAAGATAGTTCAATGCCATCACAAGTGTTCAGCTCCAACACAGTAGTTGAGACTGTCCTGGATTCTGGAAAGAGATGTGTATGTGTATTGATCTGTAATCCTGACCACGTTGTACGTGAACACTCGGCCATTAGGTCATTGTTCAATTAAATCGCGCGAACCTTTATGGCGTATCTAGTCTCTACAACGTATCGAAATTTTTCCGTATCCAATATTCAAGCCCCCGGGCGTATTCAGGGTTCTTGTATGATTACGTTGTACATTGTCAATCACACCAGAGTTTACCCGCGTTTACCCGCGACACCCAGAAATCATGCCACATTTAACAACTCAAGACTTGGGTCTAAAAACAATACTTATAATTTGTTATTTCATGCATTTCGTCATATCCTCCTAGGGCGACCATGAGTCAAGTCAGTCATTTCTACCATCGTACCACGTTATCATTCAATCGTATAATAATTCGACGGAAACCTATGTATCCCCGACTTAGCTGGTCTAACCGCCTGGCTAGTGGTGGTGCTATTCCTCCGAGTACGCGCTCCTCTCTCGATCTTCTTCTTCATGAATCCGCATCCGTCTCGCCAGCACTAAAGCTCTCCGCTTATCCTGCAGCCTTTGCGCTTCTTTATACGCTTCCTCCAGTTCCGCCTTTGTATGCAGCTTGTTATCCCCAGAGAATCTGACATAGGTACTGTTAAAGTGGAACTCCAGGCTCTGAGCAATTTCATGCACCTGATCGACATCGTACTCGTTCAACTTAAGTTGTTTTTGTAACTTCTCACGCCGGAACGTCTCTGTACTGTACTTCATCTCGAGCTCTTCACTTCGAGAATCTTGGCGTCGCTTGTCAACCTCCAGAGCTTCAATCTGGGCTTCTAGCAGGGCAATTCGCTGCGATTGAGTTTCCCACGATGAGTCTTTTGTTTGTGAAGCGGCTAGCAGCTCGGCAACGAGATTTTCTTTGTCCCTTAGATGATCCTTCAGAGTTTCAATCTCAGCTTCTTGATCTTCCTTCTGGCTTTTTAATTCTTTGATGCAATCTCCCATTTTAACTTTCTGCTCCAGATGCTTGCTGTTCAGCTCTGTGATTCGGTCTTTGCACTCCGCTTCAGCGCGCACAAGCTTGGACTGGAGGAAGGAAAAGTTGGCTTTGACGCCCGAGACTTCACCAGTCTTCGCCTTCTCTAACTGGGCGATCTTGGACGCTTGATCCGACTTCTCCCTCTTCAGTTCTAAAACCTTGGCGGCATACTTCAATTGTTTGCTTTGTTCCTGGGTCTTCAGCGCCTTAATCTCGTCCTGTTGCTGTTGAGACTCTCCTTTCAAATCTTCGAGGTTAGCCTTCTGGAGTTTGACCTTTGCCTCAAGTGCTCGAATCGTGACCTCGGTCCGCGTCAGTTTGTGCCTTGTCGCTTCAAATTTGACATTTTGATCTTCATTTTGCTTCTCCAATTCTTTGATCTTCTCGTCTTGCTGGTGGTTGATGCGCCAAAGATCTGTGACTTTTCCCTGTATTTCACTGATTGCAGCTTCTAGCTCAGCTCTACTGGCCACGAGTTCATTGAAATCCATAATCGCGGCTGTTCGTAGAAACTAAAACTAGATCGCCGCCTGTTCAGGTGATTAGGGCAAAAGTCACGTCACTTTTTGCGATGGCAAGAAGCTGGGACGTAGTTCTAGTGCCGGGGTAATGAACGTATTTATAACTGAGGAAGTCTGACATGTTTGTTTTTGGACGGACAATGGGTTGTTCAAGATGTGACTCAGGGTTCGCTGCTATGTTCGAACTTCTAGCCGTGGGCATCCCCTTTCGCGGATGTTCTGCTAGCTATGTGTTCAAAATGTCCCACCGAAACGCACTGGCAGCATGTTCTTGATTCCATAAGAGAATGGCGTGCAGAAGTGGATACACCGGAAAGTATATAAAGGGCAGATACCCCGAGCCCCCTTAAGACAATACCATGCCAGTTTTGTTACAGGCATGTTATCTCTGGCCAGAGAGTCAAGTATGAGTTACTTGATACTCTTAGTAGATTAATGCGTATATCGATAAGTAAATTATTTGCCCTGTAGCGAGATATAGACCATCCCCTGTGATCATTGCTTTCGTCAGGTAGCAGATATCAGGAACATGGCTTCCTCTTGTTCGTTATTACATAGGCAGCAGATATGGTAGTGACAGAAAGGCTGCTGCCTATCTCATAGGCAGCTTCCTGAAGTGAATTAGCCACTGTTTGGAACACCTAGTTTCTGAACACGTAAACTGAGGTTATAAATAGACAATTTCTGCTGACATGCTACCCATGTCCAACCTCCCAACCACAACACCTTTCTACCTTACTCTGATAACTATCAACGACCCTGATTTCTTTTCCCAAACGCTGAATACATCTAAAGGTGATCTAGATCTCACCATGGTCATAGCGTCTACTGAGAAACCCATGTCAGGGGCCTACGTTGATATCATCAAGGTTGCGCAGCAGATCCAGCATCTCGCTCATTTCTTGTCCCAAGGGTATCCCATTCCGGGCATCCCCTTATCAGATAACGATCTCAAGACCGCGCGCGTGCTTAGCCCCGTCACCAACATCACGTCCCACCGTCGACACTCTGATTTGGAGTTTCCCCGAGAGTGGGTTGAAGATGATGGTGTCTTAGCCACTGCACTCCGTGAGTGGAGACGAGCAATTGACCCGACCAAACTGAGCAATACAGCCCCTGTGGAAGAGATTCCAGTGCAGATCAAAAATACTCCGACAGAGACTGACATCGAGGCTGACGCGAATGTGTCGTTCATGTCATATTCAATGAAGCGAGAGGCGCACTGGGATGCCAAGATGAAGGAGCTTGAGAGGAAGCTCCGACAATGTGAGCAAGAGAAAGAGTCTGTTTTGCGAGACAATCTCAAGCTACAGCGCGACGTGGAAGTGCTTCAGCGCAGGTCGGAGTCTTTTCATCGGGCGCTTTTTGACCCCGACAATAGAATCCACGAGACTAACATGAAAGCAAAGGTGAAGCTCCACGCAGAGATTCGGGAACTTAAAAAGTCACTTCATGCATCCGAGACTAAGAATGAGTCCCTCGTTGAGAAGAACAAGAAGCTGGAGTTATCTAACAAAGGTCTTGTCACTGAGAACGAAGAGCTTGTTAAGAAGACCGAAAAACTGGAGTTAAGTAATTTCGATCTTGTTACTGAGAATGCAGCCCTTGATGCGGAAATCAAGGATCTAGACTCAGATAACCAAATTCTTATTACTATGAGCCAGGCCCTTTTGGATAAACGTGCAGCCTCTAGAGAGGCTGCGAAAAACTACGAGGAGACTCTCATTGCAGGGAACCAGGCCCTCGCGATGAAACTTGCACACTTGGAGACCGACACCGAGCGTTGTGCCGCGCAGGCCAAGGATCTCAACGAGAGATACGACAAGTCTGTGATGGTGACAGAGTCTTGCGAGGAGAAACTTGCCAGACTCACTGTGATGGTCAATGACTTCGAAAGCAGTAAGGATTTCCTAACTGCTAGGAACAATGACCTATTGGTTAGGGATGTAGCCCTTGGTGATAAGAGCAAGCGACTCGAAGCAAGCCTTGAGAGAATCGTTTCAGATGCGAAATGTTCACTAGGAGTCTGAGATGCTTATGGCTGCATTTTGGTGCGATTTAGGGATGACATGACGACAATGACGGTGATGAATGATGACGTATCACATCAATGAGGCCTATGGAAAGTGTTATGTTTACGATTTGGAGTATGGTCTATTTAATAAGTATCTTACTAATAAAACTATTTTTTAACTCAATATCATAAAGCCCATTATACCTATTAAGAGAGTGAGATCGAAACGTTTTATTATTACATATTGATGAAATTCAAGGTAGCTAGGGTAAGTAAGTGGCGCTAAGATGATAATTATAGTGTAGTGGCTGTCTTATCGTTGTCCATCGATAAGATAAGATTGAGCCTAAGATAAGCCTATTATAAGCCTAAGATAGGTAAGATCTCTTAAGACAAGACTAAGATGAGATGTCTTAAGATGAGACTAAGATGAGACGTCTTAAGATGAGACTACGATGAGACGTCTTAAGACAAGCCTAAGATATGGCTGAAAGACTCGACACGCCGGCCTTCATCGATTAATCAAGAGTGAAATAAATAAGTATTAACATCGATCGCTTCAACAATGAACTATAGCTAAAAATGACGCGCAACAAGCCACTAGCAAAGACTCACCAAAGCGATCTTAACCTGTCAAGTATACTAAAGATATAACTTCGCCTCAGCGCCTAATGAAGACAGATGAGCCCAAATCATCTGTCAATCCCAAAACCCCTTGCCGCCCCAGATATTCCCAATATTAACCCTTGACGGCTCAGCGGTATTGACCTCATCCACATGGTTGACTGTACTGACCCGAATCCCCTGGGAATTTGAGAACGACCCTGTTACAAATGTGTTACCGATGTTAACCCTGCCTTGTCCAGTGATCTTCCCCGCAGTGTTTTTGCCAGCGATTTCCACGATCTTAGCCTTAGATGCCTTGGATAACACAGGATCTAAACCTTCGGCGATATCATGAATCAATTCCAACTCCTGCTCGTCATTTACCTCCTCAATCTCCATCTCGGCTAATTGTCTCGTGATCTGTGGGGTGCTTGGAAAGACCTTTTCCAAATCTTCAATTGACGCGATAATATCATCAATCATTCTTCCCATATAGTTCTTATCATAGAGCGCCCAGCCTGTCTTTTTCATCAATCCCAAGCTCTCACACCGCTGTTTAGTGAGCACATCGAAACGAGTATGTACGCGTTGCGAGACTGGACTGAGATCGGCTTCCGTGCATATCCTCGTTCCCTTCTCTGTCGTTCTGGTCTCGTAGCGTCTGGAGACCTTGTATGCGGCCTCGAACCTGGCCACTATTTCCTTGAGAATGTCTCGAGCCATGAGAACTGTTGGATCGGCTGGGTTGATGAGACTAAATCGTCGGTCATTGTTGATGTTGATTGATGCGCCCCATCTTGCTAGTCGGCATTTGGCGACATCTAGTCGGAGTTGATATGGGGAGAAGTCTTCGCCGAAATGCCTGGCAATTTGGACGTAGTTGAAACAATCGACGCAGTTGTTAAATAGGCCGGCGATACTTATAGCTCCAGTGACAGTGGCGAATATCTCAGCCATGATTGATTTCGCAGGCTACGGTTATCAATTGATGACTTGTTCTATTGTGGATGTCGCAGCCTTGGCCACCCAAAATACCGCATACCACTCCGAATCTTTCTCGCGATTGGACGTATCCTTGTTCCCCCTTCTCTCCCCCTCCTTCAATTTTAGCGTGACTTTCTTCCACGTTAGCTCTGTTTCCTCTTCGATCAAGCGATTCATGGCATTTAAATCATCTATCCCAAAATGGAGAATCAATACTCCATAAGTGTGCAGTCTCTGAATGCATTTGGCTCTTCCAGAGTACACGTCGGCAATAGCTACAACGTAACGCATTATCATCACCAAAAGTCCGAGCAGGACGGTAGCAAAACGTACTTGGACACACTGCGGTCGACTGATCCTCGCCATGATAAAGCCAGGATCGAACAGACTAATGGTGGTTTGTTGAAGGATTCGTATGTCTGGATTCTTGAGAGCGCAGAGTTCATCAATTGGCGCGACAAAAGCAAGGGTGGCCGGCTTCTATGGATCAGAGGAGACCCTGGCAAAGGGAAGACAATGCTACTATCTGGTCTTATCAACGAACTGCAACCTTCCACAAAACTAGAGAACCCACGAAACCGCAACGCAATATCGTACTTCTTCTGCCAAGCCACAAATTCTGGTTTGAACAACTATACTGCGATATTGAAAGGACTCATCTACCTGCTAGTCATTCAACATCCGTCACTCGTTGTGCACCTAGACGATAAGCACGATCAAGATCACTGGAACTCACAGGTATCATTGGAAAGCATCTTCCGCAGAATGCTTGATGATCCAGGTCTTGGCGAGGTATATCTGCTTGTAGATGCCCTGAATGAGTGCGTTGAGGACCTTCCTCTTCTTCTAGGATTGATAACGAGTACGTCTTCATGCGCCAAGTGGATTGTTACTAGTCGCAACCGCAGTGAAATCGATGAACTCTTTAGACAGATGTCATCGAAAGTCGTACTCTGTTTGGAACTCTATGAAGAATCTGTCTCTGAGGCAGTAAGCAGTTACATTAGTTACAAAACTCGCCAGTTGGCTAGTAGGAAGAAACTGAAACAGGATGTATCGCAAGACCTTCATGATCATTTATCTCACAACGCAGAGGGTACTTTTCTGTGGGTTGCTCCGATGTGTCAACAACTGGAGAGATGCCGAGCCTGGGAAATTCCCAACCAACTACTTCAGCTTCCCCGGGGTCTCAATAAGCTTTATGCGCAGATGATGGACCAGATACGCAATTCCGATAGCTGCGATCTTTACATGAGGGTTCTCGCCGTCGCATCAACGGTCTTTCGTCCTCTTACCTTTGCAGAGCTAATAGCTATGGAGAACCTACAGATAGATGAAGACATAGTTCCAGATCTCATATCAGAATGTGGTTCATTTTTGACGACAAAAGGGAGCTCTGTCGTGTGCATACACCAGTCCGCCAAAGAATTTCTGCTCAGGGAGTTAAACCCTTTACTCTTTCGATCTGACTTTGCACATCATCAATACGACCTCTTTCAAAGGTGTATCGCTATGCTAGAAAGCCTCCACCCAGATATCTATGGCTTGGCCTATCCGGGAATCTCATTGAACGAAGCTCTTGTGAATTGTCCACATCCGGATCCATTGGAGAAGATCAAATTTCCATGTGTTTTCTGGTCATGTGCAAGAGGTGTACAAGCTATTCATTCAGGGCGGCAGGAACAGCAACATCCCCTGGATCTACACCGTTCATGATTTCATCAAAAGGTTGAGACTACCGGCGACGCTCTGTTGAAACGTTAGGCTGTCCTGAACTTGCTTTCTTGATTAATAAGTGATGCTGAGTGGTCAACGGTAGGTAATTTATCCTGTGTTTAATTGCTGTTGCTCTATGGCGCTAATTATATCCAACCTACACACTGCTCTTACTAACCTCAATACTAACTAGTTCGATGTCGCTCCCGTTGTCCTTTTTATCACTCAATTGTGCTGTATTCTCACACGAATGAGACCCAGACCACGAGTCATTTCGACCATCGGCCCCAAAACCTGACCCCTCAATTATCTCTTCAAACCCGCTCTGACCTGTCCGACGTATCGCATGGCCAGACTTCGAAGGAAGACCTGACTCCTGGATGTTGTAGTTGACTCCTTTCCTGTGAAGGTATGGGCGGAGAGCTGGGATGCAACAGATGACGAGACCGATGTACACGTCGAGGGAACACCAGAGTTCTAATGAGGGGTTAGATGGCGTTATAATTGTATCTTGAAGTAGACGTGCCTATTATCGTGAATGATCGAAAGTCTTCGCTATCGCCCAATTGAATGGTCAAGAAGCGCGTGAGGGAAAACGCGATGTCGATGATGCCTAAGAGAAAAATGCAGTATACACTGATTTTGACTTTCCTTCGCATGTTGAGATTGTGGATGATGAAGAACGGGAGGCAGAAGACTAGCACGCTGTTAGTTCTATGTAGGGTCAAAGGCAATAGGGAAACTTCCGAGCAATGCTTCCGACGAAATGCAAGACCCAGTTGATTTGGAAGAGAAGCAGTACCGTAGATACTTTGCATGCTTCTTCAGGCTTCGTGACAGACCTAGAAAGCATATTAGAAACATGAATGTCGGAAATGATTGATCTGTAATACCAGTTCCGTTCAATTGGATAGCAGAGAAAGAGCTGGAGTGAAATGGTAACGATGTAGGCACAGAGACAATACACGACCACAATCCAGACCATGAGTCTTCTCATGACCATGAATGGCGGAAATAGCTGTAGATAAATTACCAAGAGCGACGCCTTGCACAGATAGAACGTCGTGTAAAATGGGAACGTATTGACCCAATTGTACTGCAACTTCACTCAGCTTAATCTCCCTCGTAAGTAACTAAAGCACTTACCTTGCGCATTCTGATTTGCTGTTCCAACGGGGCATCCCAATTAGAAAGAGTGTAATTGATCCCGGGATGCAAAACGCCCTCTTTCGCATAGAGTATGTCGAAGAAGCCAGTGACGAACGCGGTGCACCATGCTGATATGCGCAGCCAGTCTGCCGTCACGAGGCGCTGCTTCTGTATTACCAATCGTAGATAGATTCGGGCACCGATGATTATAGCGGACACGGCGATGAGGACGTAGATGACGGTCTGAGCGAGCGATTGTTAGAAATGGACGTTTCAGATGGCTCGTGGACGTGGTTGATCGCATACCAAGACGACAACGCCGGACGGCCCTGCAGGCATTTTGGCGAGTGAACAGGTCGACGGTCCAACTCAATCTCGCGAAGAGGTCGATCCGGCTGGGGACAAGGGGGGAGGAAAGCACTTAAGCAAAAGGCGAGACAAAACGCTATTCCACAAACGTTCAGCAGACACCACTGAACTTGTTTCAACACCATACCAAAGGTCAAGCGCCTTGAGATGGTGACTTTCTCGGTGTGCGCCAGTTTCGTGTGCCTCTTCTCTGCGCTATGTGAATGGTCAGAAGCAGATTACCAGGCACACCAACGCTTTGACGGTGGCTGCGAGGTTCGGGAATAGACTCGGCACTAACGTGTCTGTTGGGTCCAAGAATCGCGATAGAGTTTACGCTATGCTCCTCGATCACGCGAGATCAGCCATGGGCTATGGATCGTGTCCAGATATAGTCAAGAGACAGAGAATATTGAAGGAAGCATTTTGCCGATGGGCCGAGACTTGGAAGAGGGGAGCTGTGATGTGATTTTGGGCAGTCATGAGTCGTGAGTAAAGCCACGATTGGGATTGCCAACGAGTTTCGCATAGACTAATTTTGAAGTTGCGGATATCCAGGCTTGCAAAGGCTGATGCAAATGTGTTTTACTGATCACAATGGCCATCGATAGAAATGATTGCGCATAAGAACACGGTCATTACGTTTCGATCAACAGTAAAGAGGGAGGCATCAGGTATCCAACCCCCTGAGCTAGTGCCCAAGTTTAGTCCATGCCAGAGTCTGGAGCAGGGCACCAGTGCTAAGATGTCCTGAATCGAGGTTAGGCTGTGCACACCATCCTCTGTAGCGGTCTTTTGACTTTCGACCTTTTCCGATTGCATGCCAGTGTTTACCTACTAAAATAGCCTGGACGACGCTAATCGGAAGTATCGAGCGCCAATAAGTATGCCGACTGAATAATGCGAAGCGCTGCGATGGCCTTATGAGAAGAGTTTGTGCCAATCGTACACGCCTTGAATAACAAGAATGAAGTAAGTGGATACGAAAAGTACCTCTATCAATACTAAAGTCCATGATTGAACTAGATATTGTCTATGCCAATCGCTGTGGCGACATCGAGCAGACTCCTCCTCTAATAATGATTACACCAAGACATAGCATCTGTAATGAAGCTGCGAAGTATCAATATTAGCATTTTACCATTATCGAGTCATTTATCGTGCGGTTAGTTGTGAACGATTCGGCCACAAGGTACTTAACTCAATCTCATTTACAGAGGGTTAGCGATTTCGCCGAATATCGCCACCTAGCTGGAAATTTGCCTAAATCGGAGACCTTGCTTCATAAACCCGCGGCACCTAGATCTCTACATTAGCCTAAGGCTTTGGTCCTTGTCCGACGTCGTGTCTTACTGCTTCTGGAGGAAAGTTCGTATGCAGTTAAATTCATCAATCGGCCCAATCATCTTGCATGGAATATATGCATCTATCGAATGGCAGGGATGTATCTTAAGATCACCCGTATCAGATGCAAAGACATAGCCCTGACCCAAGGCTCTTTTACCGATAAAATACTAATCACGATTATATCAAGGCTTTGTGAGCTTGTTTCTTTATTTTAAGGTTTGTATGCAAAAAGCCAACCGGTATGAAACTTGTAGTATCTCCAGGGCGTGTATGCAGGTTAGGGCTTAAAATTCCCACGGGCACCCAGATGTTAGCCCGCCCAATTAGGCCCATAGGTAGGTCTAGGTACCCAGTTAGGTAGGTCAGGAAAAATTACCTACTATAGGTACCCTAAAACAGGTATAATTTTTTCTAAGTATTAAAAAGAGGTTAAAATAGGAAATAAAATAGCTATTTATAAATAAAATAATTATAATATAAATTATATATATATATATATAATTATATAAATT